TCACTGTTGATTTTAAATCACTAAATATATCACCGTTCTTCTGTATTTGCTTACATACCAGTTCGGGGAATGGGACTGGTATCATGAAATAAACACTTTTCAGTTTTCTTTGCTGCAGTTGTAAAAATAATGATATGCATTGTTTTGTCTGAGGAAGTTATAGTTATACATACATGTATGTATACATATACTAATGGATATTTTTTATCGGCTTCATCATAATATTCCAAAAATGTTGATTTTTATAGATGTTTTTGTGATTATGTCATATCACATAGCTTTTTCTGACATCATAAATGCTTTCTATAATTTGCCGAGAGATTGGGATAGCTTGAGAAAATTATAGAAATGAATTTTGTGTGAATGAACCTGCATCAGAGCATCATAACTGATGTAGGCCACTGGTGCAAATACACGGGGTGCCATCGAATAATTTTGGCAACGTACCGGAGAACGACATTTTACTAAGAAATGGCAATAATTTAGCACAATATATTTTTTAACTAGAGTTCTATTTTGATTTTGACAAAAGTAAGTATTCCATGCAATAACTATTTCATTCATGAGTTTGTAGGAATTATGTTGGAACCCAGTTCTGATCAAGTACGAAGTTATTGAAATCGGCGCAGACGGACTTAACTCCGAAAGATGGTTTTTCGATTATAACTTTTCACAACATTTAAGTATAGACTTTTGAAAAAAGTACAGAATAGTCCTTATATTTTTGAATAATTTTGTTATTTCTGATTCACAAGACTCTGATTTGTTTAATTAAAAAAAAATATTTAAAAATATTACTTAGGAACGTAACCGGAGCAGATCAGTTGAATTATTTAATCAATAATCAAAAAAATTAAAATATATGATTTAAAGCACATATACTAATTTAAAAACATACGGGATTGTTCGAATGCGTATTTATTACATTTTATTTAAAGAAAAAAATTATCCATTGTGAAAAATTAAATTTGGTATTTACCATGCATAAGTGCACTTACCTTAGAAAGGCTATCAAACATAGAACAACCATTGTATGGAGAATGAAGTGATTAAATGTAGTAAGCAAATAATTCCATTTGATTTCACCCATTGTATTTGTTCAGCGAACTATTAGAACCCACTCTGTTATACTAATTTCGTATACTGTTTATACATACATTTATTCCATAATACAACTGTTTTCCCAGGGAAATATGAAGGAATAAAAATCGTATTGAATCGTATTACATGAAAAAATCGTATTGTCCCTGGGAAAAAAATCGTATTGGAGCGTATTACATGAAAAAATCGTATTGTCCCCGGGAAAAAATCGTATTGGAGCATATTAACCTATTTTCGGTTTCCCGGTTATTTTTTACCAGTTATCTGCATTTTCCAAATGTAGCATTTTAGAGGGGTGTATTATGGAATAAATAGGTTATTACTGGTCGGGATTGAATATGGGTTTTATTCCTCGGAAAATATGATATTGACCTTGGGCTATATGATATTGACACTCGGTCGCTGCGCTCCCTCGGTCAATATCATATTGTCCCTCGGAATAAAACCCATATTCAATCCCTCCCAGTAAATAACCTATATGTATTATACTTCTAAGACAACTTCTCTTTTTCAGGGGAAATAAAAGCATTTAAATGCTAGATTATTAAAAAAGTTAGGATACAACGAACTGTATATAGCGTAGGTGTGTTAAGTACTTGTCATGTGCTCGACCAAATCGAATCAACATATGCTTTCTGAAATTCTTCACCTAACCCCCCCCCCCCCCCTCCATATAAACGTAAGCTGTTTGAGTGAGTCCCCGTTTATTGTTTTATGCAAAACCAGTTGTTATCCATCTTTGTTTCGATAAACCTAGGCGTGAGTCATTAAGCAAGTAAGAAAGTGAATGATTTTTTCCAGTTAAACTACAGAACATTGCTTTTCAGTCGTTAATAGACAGTGTTCTATAATTCTATCACACCAAGTAAGCTGACATATGTGTTTGTAAATAATATATATGCTTTAAATCATATATTTTATTTTTTTAAATTATATAATTCAACTGATCTGCTCCGGTTACGTTCCCAGCTCCGGTTACGTTCCTAAGTAATATTTTTAAAACTTTTTTTTAATTAAACAAATCAGAGTCGTGTGAATCAGAAATAACAGAATTATTCAATAGTATAAGAACTATTCTGTACTTTTTTCAAAAGTCTATACTTAAATGTTGTAAAAAGTTATAATCGAAAAACCATCTTTCGGAGTAAAGTCCGTCTGCGCCGATTTCAATAACTTCGTACTTGATCAGAACTGGGTTCCAACATAATTCCTACAAACTCATGAATGAAATAGTTATTGCATGGAATACTTACTTTTGTCAAAATCAAAATAGAACTCTAGTTAAAAAATATATTGTGCTAAATTATTGCCATTTCTTAGTAAAATGTCGTTCTCCGGTACGTTGCCAAAATTATTCGATGGCACCCCGTGAAATAGCCTTTAACTGGGAAATTTTTAAAAACATTTCTCCACAGATGAAGTCATCTGTCTGACGTCATTCTGAACATCATTAGATTATCTATAACCACTTTGCCCACCCTGGCTAATACGTCACTCATACGAGGCGTGCTATCACAACAAAACACATTACTTTGCTAACAAGTGCAAAACCTAATGTATCTGGTTAGAATGACATAACTGATGCATAAGATGTTTCTTACAAATGCTAACTGCGGTTTCTGTTTTTTAAGCATTTGAAATAAATAACCATGCATATATAATTGGAGAGGTTTAGAGAAGGTACATCAAAATAAACATGCATAACTGAACAAAACAAACAACACAACAAACCCTTTAAGGCATAATTACTTGTTAAAATAATAAACAAGAAACATACATCATTATTAATATTTTTCTGTTGGTCTTTTATAATTGGTATTTTTCTTTTCATTTTTACATGCTTTTTTATGAAGGTTATATTATAGAATCGTATCCCTGTGAGATTTATGTGTTAATGAAGCAGGGATAAGCTGCATTAGATCAAATAGATAAATGATGAAGCTTATAAAACACTATATCAACGCTATGATGATGCTAAAGTAGAGCACTTTTATGAGACATCACAATCAAGGTAAAGCATAGATAGGGTATAACTTATTGGTTGGAACTTTTACTCATTATGTGTTAGATTAAGAGTTTACAGTTCTTTATAATTTAGAGATATCATAGTCATTTGTCATCAAAGGTACCCTTTCCTCTTGGTTTGCTTCAACTTTTTGATTTATATCAATGTCTTTATTTCCTTATCACCCTTGGTATACGCAGCTAACGAAAATTGACCGGTACGGGTCAAAAGCTGGACCGGTACGGGTTAACGGTTTTATTTGAATTTAAAACAGCCATAACTTGCTCAATATTGACTTCCTCGTGTCTAATTTGAAATATATGATGCCTCCTGATGCTTTTAAGTACCCCAATTTTTTACAGATTTTTAAACAGACCAAAACTCTCTAAATGCGCATTTATGCTCTTTTCTCTCTAGAACGACTGTCTCATTTTCACGATAACTTTTATTTAGTACTTCTAACATATAAGATCTATTTTTCCTAGTCATATAAATCCGACGGTTATATGCTGTTCTTCGATATTCCTTGTTCCTATTTGGATATTTATTTTTTATCATTTTCTTAGCATATACCGTCGTAGATATTATTGCTGACAAATTGCGGTAAACGCTTTTCTGGCTTGTCTTGGTAACCGTAGTTACCATGCTTACCAAAGTCACACAAATTATCGAGTAATTATTTAGTTCCAACATCAAAGTGTTAAATCTTACCTTAGACATGTAAAACGCTTGATAATTGACGAAATATAATCAATTGAATTATATTTTCATTATCGCCCACCATGTTGCTGAATGTTGTTTCCGGTAGTCTAAATGTAAAACATGTATCAAAACGGAATCATAATTATTTATTACACAGAGATCGATTCCAAAGCCGTTCTCTCATACTTATTACTTTTCTCATTTTGAAACAATAACTCTTCCAAATAACTTCCCTTCTTAACGACACTGCTTCCCTTTCAACTGATTTTTTCGTGTAACAAGTACTTATGATTTCGTTTAACATAGTTTTACATATAGACTCAGATTAACCCGGAAGTGACCTTGGCATGGCAAAATGAAAAAATTTTAAAATCCAAGCGGCATGCTTATATTTCTTCAATTACCAAGCGTTTTACGTGTCTAAGGTAAGATTAAATACTTTATAGTTGAAGCAAAGAAATTTATTTATCATTTGTGTGAATTTGGTTTGGTAGACAGGCCAGGAAAGCATTTCCCGCAATTTAGATGCGCGGAGTGTGTATGACCCTAGTATGCAAGAAAATAAGAAAAAATAAATATCCAAATCAGAAAAAATAACAACAAATAACATCATACGAGGGTCAGATTTATATGACTAATTTTTCCCCATCAAGGTATGATGTAAATGACATGCTATTTACATCCGGACCGGTTCTATTGCCCCGAACCGGTCCGTCAATATTGAGCAAGTTATGGTTGTTTTAATTGTTGTTTTAGTTATGGCTGTTTTAAATTCAAATAAAACCGTTAACCAGTACCGGTCCAGCTTTTGACCCGTACCGGTCAATTTTCGTTAGCTGCGTATACCAAGGGTACTTATGTTATTTCACAGTTAATAGTGTGGTTTTATATAAAAGTTTGGTATGTAAAGAGGGTGAGAGATTTTGAATGTTAATTTTAGTCTCAATCATGTAATATTTTACAGTTTATGTAGCATTGATGAGAGACAAGAGGGTTATATGGAACGATTTCTTACAAGATTCATGTTAGAATTCTACACTACTTTGAATGTTTCAGAAGCAGATTCTTGGAAGCCTTGTTATTAGTATAAGATTCATACAAGAATTCTACACTACTTTGAATGTTTCAGAAGCAGATTCCTGGAAGCCTTGTTAGTATAATCTGACCCTGTACTTTCTGTTTGTATTTGTAGGAAGATGGATTGCAATGGTTAATGGAATGCAATAATCTCAGAACATACAAGCTCTCAAGGCCAGGTTGGTTAAAAATTTTGTTCATTGCTAGTGAATTGATCTGTGTTTATACACATGTTAGATTGAAACTTGTATGGTGAACACCTCACATTGGAACTAACAAAAGTATTTGGAAAATACATTATAATGGAATTTGTATATTTTGGTAAATACTTCATGGTGGAACTTGTATATATGAAGAACACCTTACGTTGAAACTTTATGGTGAACACTTCATGACATTATATATAAGTCCTTCATAATGGAAATCATATATCAGTGACCTCCACATGATTTTTTTTCTCAAGTGGGTGCAAAATTCTCATTTCACAATTCAAACCAAAATTGGTCATAATATGCCAATTTTCATGATATTTTCTTATTTTCAAGTGGTAGCAAATGGATTTTCAGGTAGGTGCAAGCCTAGTCTCTATGTAAGTTAATCAGCATTAAAGCAAGTGGGTACACCACCTACTGAACACCTCATACTGAAACTAACATCTCACAATGAAACATGTATTTATAGAACATTGTACATTGAGATTACAATTTAAATGCTGTGAACTTCTAATATTTTTTGAATTGGTAACCCTCTTGTTAAGTCAGAGCTTCAACCAAAACAACTTAATGGTGCTTGTTTTGATTAATTGATCTTATTATTAAAGGCATGATAACAGGCATAATGTAACAGATACAGAAAGAGCTATTTGAGTCAGATCATTGCCATTCTGATACTCATCACATCTTTCTGCCTTCAACTAGAAATATCCTAGAGAGATAGCTTAAATAGAAGGCCATGATTTCTCATGATGTATCATTGCAGGGATTTCTGTATTTGACACAAAGATGAGTATCTGCAAATGAGATTATTAGGGTCAGACTGTCCTAGCTGTTGAGAAACTTGCTATTTTTGTTATTCGTTTCATCTATTGAAGAGCCAGATGGAACGGGTATAACACACTAAATACTTTATAAGCCTAAGGTGTAATGAATTCTCCATATTGATCAACTGAGGTGATGTTATGCAGATAATCTCTCATTGAACAGTATCAGTATTGTACAGTATTCTCTCGATATTAGATAACGGGGTATTAATTAGAGTATACAGAACCTGTTATTTGCCAGATAATAGGACTTTGGCACTGAATAAACGAGCAGGGAACAAACACACAGATCAAATGTCAAAATGATTATGTAAACTTAGGAATGCTTAGATGAAACTGGTTGTGCTGATTTGTTTTCTATTTTTATGTAATGCACAATCTGATGCAGATAAAGATACATAGAGAGGGAGAGGGGGCAATAAAGGAGAAATTTACTGATAAAGGTTCAAGTTACTAACAAGTTCATGTACTAACAAATGGAAACATATGAATAAAAAGAACAAAACCAATGAAGGAGAAAGGAAATATGAGAAGAGGTGCGATTATAATCGTGAAGGTGGTGATAAATGTGAGAGGTACCAATAAATGGGAATTACAGAAAATGGTAAAAGAAAATAGGTGAAGAGAGAAGCACCAATAAACAGTGAAAGCACTGATAAAGGAGAGAGGCACCAATAACCAATAAATTAGACAGGTATTTACTTATAAAGAGAGAGGTATACCAATAAATGAGAAAAGTAATGATAAAGAGTGAAGCTACTAATAAAATGGATCTTACCAAAAAGGGTTAGGAAAGAGGTACTGATTAAGAGGAGAGGTACCAATAAATATGAGAGGCTACTCCCATGAGATAACAGTAAGGAAGATCAAAGGCTTTTATCAGAATGGGTCCTCCCATGCCCTCTGTCAGCCTTCAAATATTCACACATCAATTAGCCTTGCATCAAATTCCTGGCTGGTCTGTTTCATTTTGATAATCATCATCAGGGATAGCAACTTGTTTAAGATAGATGTCATGTTTTATCAAATATATGTTTTTCTCATCTTGTTTTTAAGAGAGAATGATTAGGGAGAGGGGGATAACAGTATACTCTAATTATTTTGAGTATTCTGAACTTCCTGCATTTCCTGAATAAAAATGTATTTTACTTCATTAAGAAACTCATAATACTTGTAGTGATTATACTCCTTTTTTATTGGTTTCTCAATTAATTAAATTCTTTAAATGCATCAGCAATTTGTTTTTAGTATCTTCCAACATGCTGTCAAGCACATATGTTCATCTAACATGTTTAGAATTAGCATAATATGAATATACGTGTACTGTATATGAAAATTGATATTGTTATTTGCATGTTTAAGTAACTGATATAATTTATTCTCTGATTTTACCAGTTTTGGTCAAATATCTCCCCATTTCCCATTGACAGGGCTCAAACAGATTTGAATAGGTTGACATGTATATATTTTTCAAATTTTTAAAAAGAGCTCAAACACCCATCTTGGATTACCAAGGTATGAAGATTGAAAGTCAAACTGGGAAATCACCCTTAGAAATGCATAAGATACTCTGTTTGTCTAATTGTATTGTTTAGTATATTTTTGCAATTACCTTATTAACAGTCTAACAGTCTTCCGATAAACCATTCATAAGGAACAGACAAATAAAAACAAATAGCATAATCATTACTATTAAGCCAAATGGGTTGCTTATGAACACTAAATTGCAAGGTATAGTAGAGTGTAAATGAGTTTATCCCATACTTGGACGTGTTACAGGTACATAAAGCCGGTTTGTAAAAACTTATATTTTCATCAGCGGGCAGATATAGCTTTACATCCCGCTCCGAGCGGGCAGATATAGTATATCTGCCCGCTACGCCATAATCGCTGCTCGCATATTTGTTCATAATTTGTAACGTTCGCGTAATGACTGTAAACGACAATGGAGAAAACACAGACAATCGGGATCTGTTTGATGGTTTAAAAAAGGGAAGGAGCATCCACTTAATCAATCAAAAATTCGAGAAAATGAATTAGGAAATATTTGAGAGAACGGGAAAATCCACCCACGGCCAAGAAAACAAAACTGGACATGAATATTCTAAAATATTTCCACAATTGAACAATGTGAACCAGATGACCAAGATTGGTTTGGGATAAACATATTATCCTATAATCTCTATTTATGCAGTGCCCAGTTGATCTAATATTCTAAGTGATTGCTGTTTATGATACCTTGAGATGAGGGGATCCAGGGGCTAGATGCAAGACTATACCCAGTGAAATACACTGATTGATATCATATCCAGTTGAGAATTGATTTTTTAGCTCACATGGTGATTTAATAATGCTACCCTGATGACATGAATGACATATTCATTATCAGATATCAGTGACCTGCAGGCTCTCCCTCTACCTAGCTGTAGATAAAATTCCTCTATTGTTATCTATATTTTTTGCTTTTCCCCCTCCCCATAAAATAAACCATTATATGCATGTATATTTTAACTGTGTTGTGCTGACAGCATACCAATTTACTCAATACCTTGCTAATTAAACCTTTAAAAAGCTCTATTTTTACAATTATAAATGACCCATATGACATTTTTCTCAAGAGTGTTTTTGTACCTATTGTTTTAGTTGAATTTTCAAAACCAGGCTCTACATACAATACAATGGCAAAAGACCTCGAATAAAATCACACAATTTCTCATGCTGATTCTATTCGAATTCTGAAGTGATGGTACTCTTGACTTTTTGATCAATTACATCGATGGGCTTCATGTGTCTTTACCAGATTTCGTTCTTTTTAACATTATTGTCATATTTTATCATAAATACTGTGAATTTCATTTATAATACACAGGGTCAATTTAAATGTGAGTTGAGGTTTAAGGACATTTGTTTTTTATCAGTACAATCAGATACATGCTTTATGATAATAAGTCATTGTTTTAACAATAGTGTAAAACACATATATGTTAAATCTAAAAAATCTCAGGAATTTTGGGGAGGCAATTTCTGGGTCATGGATGTTTAATGTTCCACTTAAGGTGAGGGTCTGCTAATGTTTCCATTTATTATTAAAATATATGGTAGAAAAGCCTTGTAAACAATTAAAATGTTTTACAAACATGAATAATCAAAGATGAATACTATGCATTGTTTGCAATGTTGAACATATTCTGCACTGACTTGTGTAATTTGATAATGAAATTGTTGTTGTTTGCACATCATGCAAACAACAAGAATATGGCAACACTGCTTAACTTAGATTTTATGTACATCCTGTTTTTAGAATGAAAGTGTGTTAATATCCGAAAAACTAAAAAACTCAATTAGCAAATACAAAATGAAATACTTTTTTCTTAGAATTCTGTCTTTTAAGTCTACTCAAATGAAAAATTACTTAAGCCATTCTTGTTAGGTCACTATTTTGCAAGATACTTCCAAATCACTATTGAATGATATCATTTTTCACACTGACACAAAGCCCTTTCATAATTTTGTTATTCCTTACAGTTTTGGCGTAATTGTTTCTGCAAAATATGAGCCCATCTTTCTCGATTCCACTGAATTGAATGTTTATGACAGCCTAGTGCAAAGTAACAATAAGATATGGCAAGTATGGTGTTATAGATCATGCTCTGTAAACACAATTTCTTGCAACTGTACCTGAGACTAGGATCAATTTCTCAAAATGTCATAAATCAGTAGTTTCTATTCAGATTTATGGAAAATTTGAAAAAATAGACTCAAGTGACACATAGATCTGTTCTGTCACATTTCTGTCGAATATTCATCAAAATGTGCCAAGATTTTTTGGCACTTTCAAAGTATGTGCGATCTTGGTTTCAAAGTGAACATTTCAACTGGCTGTCTCATTGCCAGTGATACACATCTTGGATATCCAAGGTATGATGTGAAAATCGAACTGGGAAACGAGTAAGAGTGATACAACTGATTCCAAATGTTTCATTATCCTTTGACACAATTATAATGATGTTTGAATCCAGGTCTGTTGTTCAATCACAATTATAAATCAAGTTTTGTTTGCATTATTTCATGAATCTGCATTCTTTTGTTTTCGAAAACAATTGTTTTCATAATCTTAAAGCACATATGGCAACATTCTGAAACAAACAAACCCCTAAACCATACATTAATCAAAACCCAGTAATCAGAAATTCATTATGACTCCACTCTATTCAATTTATTAGAAATATTGGAAATATTGATGTTTTCTGAGTTGGAACTAACTACAGATAAAAATATTGGCCTTAAGAGAAACATCCATGAAATGAAATTATGCGATTCTTATTTTAAAATGTGATATTGAATATAAGAGTGGGAAAGCAGGGAATGAAGTAAGTAGAATATTAAAGTAAACAATCTAGATTATATAGAAATGAAATATAGATATTTCATTCAGAATCTAGAATGGTTAGTTTGGTGTTTTATGTGAGGGATGTTGTCAGAAGATGTTATGTGTCAATATATTGATTGAGTTTTGATGTTATATATCTGGTTACATCTCCCAACATAGTGTGTTATGAATTAAGAGTTGAAAATAAAGAAGTCCAGTTTAAAGTAAGAGAAAAAGTTAAAGATAAAGAAATAAGGAATACTGTTTAAGGTTGTATAAGTGCTGTTTTTGCCAAAAACTTACTAATCATGCTTACATGTGACAATGAACATTTTTTCCTCAAACATAATGATGATTTGTCTAAAAGGACATATTTGATGAAACATAATGATCATTGTTTGTTAGATGTCACTGATCATATGTGTCTTAATTTCACATTGCTTTAAGTGAATTTACGTACCTGTTAAATTGAGAAACTTTTGAATAGTGTTATTACACAATAAACCAATGTAAACAAAGTACATGTAATATGTTTTCTCCACCATGAAATTGAAATTAATTTGAAGTACATGTAGATCAAAGAATCAAGTGAAATCAAGCGAGCAAAAACCAAACTTCCAAAAGACTTGTTATCATTCGGGCTTTGTTCAGATGAGTGAAACTAGAAACATAGAAGCAAGATAATCAGAAAATCTAGGATTTCTGATTTTCTTGCTATATACTAGATACTTGCTATACTAAATTCAATTATTTTGCACTTTATTTTGCACCTTTGCTATGTTCTCCCTATCCAATTTAGATTTAGCTCATGGCCTTGTTTTGTCTTTCAGAAGTGATGTACCTGTCAAACTAACAACTTTAAAATGGCAGCTCTTTGCTACAAGTACACAGATATAGCAATTACTACACTCAGAATATAAAAACAGTTTGCAGATTCTAGAACACGAAACATATTATGATGTGATTAAGTCGTTATTCAGCAGGTATGTGTCATTTTATCTTTTTGGTCTGGCTCGAGTCCCTTTGTTATGTCACTACCACTATTGGTTATAAATGATTATAGTCTCCAACTTTTTGTGAATGTGTTTGATGGTTTATGTTCGGCATCGGGTCATTAGTGTTTCGCGATCGGCATCTGTAACAAATGGCAGGTAGTGACATTTTGCATGTTAATGTTTTGTTATCTATGTTATCCTCCCTAAATTATTTTATCACATTAATGTGGGGGAATTGACAATAGGGGTGGGATGGCAAAGATTTATCTAAATTTATAATGTGAATTAGGTTCTGGACAATAACAGAACTCATAACCTTTTATCAGTTCCTCTCTATAATATTGCTAGTTTGAAAACCGAAAGATGTAATGTGAAGCATAAAAAAATGCCTGGACACTAAGTGGGAGAAACATAGCTTGTTTCAAACACCCCCCCCCCCCTTCATTCCCTAGCGATGTCCAACAAAATAGATACCAGAGACTAGATGTAAGATGAAGAAACTAGATTAAGATGTACATGTATAATCTTGTCTGTAGACGTCATCTTCAATTTGTTAACGCCCTTTACGTCATCAAGTTCTTCCTCAAATTATAAAAACATCCAAGAACAAAATGGTATAATTGGAGTCACTCTGACATGAGATCTATTTACAGTCTGGTGTCCAGTCCCAAAAACACATGATCAACTGGGCAGTTGGCTCATGCAGAAGACTGTAAAAAGCAAATATAAGCTGTATTGATCATCTACTTATGGTTGCGCCTTATCACAATTAACTTGATTTCGATTGATCAGACATTAATTAATGGTATTATTTTTTTGTATACAAAGTCATGTCGCTGTAACTATGGAATCATTTGTGCCATTCATGTTTTAGAAGTACCAGTTAATATAGTGCAGAAAGTTTTGCCTATAATCACTTCATGTAACATGCAGGGATTTCACTATAATTTCTCACAACAGGCTAAATAAATGAAAACAACAGGCAAAATGAATGGAAATCATAAATTCAACATGGAAAAGTTGAAAAGTCCCTGAAAACAACAGGCGATTTTGTGAAAACAACCAGTGAAAATCGCCTGTTGCCTGCTGCTTATGAAACCCCTGAACATGGGTGATAAAGTAGAATGGAGGGGGGTATAAAGGGATTTGATATAAGACTGATCGGTAAATGGATATGTATCTCAAATGAAGGTAGAAGTTGTTGTGTTTGCTTAAATTTGTTGCTAGTGTATTCAAAGGGGGGGATGGGCAACAAGCATTATCAGTTAATATAGTGTAACCATACCAGTGTAACATTTTTCATACCCTTGGGGTCCAAGCATAATTAGGTAGATGGGGTTCTCTTTTTCAAAAAGCAAAATCAAACTTTTGGCAAGGGTACCATGTTTTTTGTAAAGTCAAGATTTTGGTTCAAATTCCATGATCTTTTACGTTGTTTACAAATTAGCATAAAATTACCTGGCGTAATCTCACATAAGCTATGTTCTCCACCCCTATTGGACGTGACAAATGCCAGATTGACCTAAACGACTGATAACACTATCTTCTACCCTTGATCTTCATTGGCCACCCATATTTCACTCTTACCATGGCAGATGATTTGATGTATTGAATACTGATATGATCTTAATGGTCTCATATGTATTGTATGTGGCCTTTTAAAAGAGTTTAGATGTGGAATAGAAAATGAAGTCTTGATCGTGTGGCTATTGTTATAAGAGATAGTACTGGGGGATCCAGAAAACAAGGGCTATTCCAAGTCAGAAAAATTGGCCCTAAAACCAAAAACTGGGCCCATATTTTTGAAAATGTAAGACCCATTTTTTGATAATTTGGCCTTAAATGAAAAGATAAGACCCTAAAGGCCAAATAATGTCCAAAGGGCATCATGGCTCCCCACCCCTGGATCCGCCAGTAGATAGGTTAAATCAAAGAATTATCTCTAATTTAAAGAGCAAAGGCAACAGCAACCTCATTCAAAGAGTAGTTATCTTCTAAGGCAGAGGCCAAAACCACTTGTATCTTGAATTACCAGTGTAGATAATTTCATATTAATCACATTTTAATATGGAATAAAATGAAAAAAGGGGAATTAAAATTGAATTAAATGAACAATGAATATTTATGCACTTTGAAATCGATATGAGAATGCATAAAGAAACAGATTTTTTAAAGATTTTTGATGGAAATAAGTTACAAGATGCTCAAACAAAGGGGAATTTAAGATTAGGCCAAATGTGCTAATAAGAGAACCTAATCACAATTCTTACATGGGAGTTTCAGCCTAAGATACTTCTTCAGGTCGAATGTAAAATGTAAGTTCAAATTCCAAAGTGAACCATGGATTATTATGAGCCGAAGGGTATGTAATTTTTCTCTCTGTCTGATTGTATATTTGTGAATGATTTTGCAACTAATTAACTTGATTTCAATATGATTTCAATTTATCAATAAATAATATTTATTGTGATCTAGTTTAAGTGGATCTGAAGTAGATACAACTCTAAAAAATGTGTTGACGTATATGACATTTAACTTTCTTTTTAACATCACAAACATGTGTACATAACACATGATTAAAGTATCGTCAATCAAATATGAAAGCAAATAAAAACTCAAAGATATTCTAGAAGGCATTCGCATTATTGATCATAGTGTATTGAGCTTTATTAGTTTACATAGAACCCAGATTGTTTGTCACACTTCTAAGTACAGTATAACAATCATGACTTACAAAGCTTTCATTTGCAACCAGGAACTAAAATAAAAAACAGTTTGCGTCAAAAATCTGATAATCAGTTTGGAATACAAACAATAGGCTTAATAAACAAATAAAATGTTTGGATAAAACATTTAGAAATATTTTCAAAAGGTGTGACCAATATAAGGAAGTAGGAATCATAGCAACAAATGACTGTAAAAATCAATTAAAATGTACTTTGATCAGAAATCGTGATCAATTGTTGTAAACATGGAATACCACATACTTTAAATGTTTTTTTATTGACCACTTCTTAAAGTTTGTATATTTAACTTCATGGAATGAATGACTAAAACCCAATAGGTTGGCCTATTGATATGAACTAAAAATTGAATTGATTAAATAGGCGTGATACTCACTTACTACCTAATAAGGGACTTTTAGAGATGAATCGCATACAAGAATCAAATGATTAATAGTTTGACTTATTGATCATGCAAGTCAGACTCTCAGTGTGATTCATGACTTTCAATGAACAAGCCGGATTTACTGTCATAAGTTGTAGAAATTTGATAGCACAACTGATTTGAAGTCAAAAGTATACGCATGAGAAATATTAATTCTGAGAAGAAACTGAAGCAATAGACGACCGGGATGAAGTTCAGAAAATCATACACATTCGGAGTAAAAGGTTGAATTTCAATCTTTGTTCAAGATTACTTTATAGTATCAGTTATTTGTGAAGTTATTTTATTTCAAACAAAAAGTCTAAAAACATGAATTAATGTATTTATGTATCTAAGGTTACAAAATACTATTTTTATTAAGCGTTTAAATATAATGTTTGGATGAAATATCCAAAATATCCAAATATGAAATTCATTTTATTGAGAAATTAGACATGTCTGATTATAGTTGATAAGTTGAATTATTGATTTTCCTGATATAAAATTTTCTATTTATCTATTTACTACAGACTTGTAATAAATGCCTACTGGCTGTATACAATTGTATTCATTTGATAAAAAATTAATATCAATTTCTATGTATGATATGATCTTACATAGAAATAATAGCTCCATTAAATAGAACCATTAAAATTTTAATTAGATTTTAATATTAGTTTGTGTTTAATTTTCAGATGATGCTACACAACAGCCAATCAGTGGCCAGGAAATAGAGGAAAATATCATAAAGCGAAACATGTCACTTAACGAGTTAAGTAGGCCAAAGTTGGAGCCTAACGTTAGTAGGAGTAAATCATTTAATGGAATAGCAGCATTGAATAAAAGTCCCCCTGTCACGCCAACAGGTACAATGGTCCTCGGAAGGAGTGTAAAAAGTCCTCGTTCTGGATATAAATCACCACATGGATCTATTGGATTTAGTTTTAAGAAATCGGGGAAAGTTCCGAAGGTGCCTCGACCACATAGGACTATGACAATGTTTGAACATGTGAAAAATGGACTCAGGTACGGAGCTTTATTCTTATGAAATCAGGATTAAGAGCCCCTGTGAATGTTTCATATTAAAAAATAAATTGATAAAATTAGCCAGGGATATTTAAATAAAGTATAGACAAATTTCTGTAAATGCATGTATGTATTCTACTCCTATTCTGTACAGCAGGCAGGCCCGTAGCCAGGGGGGTTCGCAGGTTCGCAGCATTTTGAGTGAAAACTGAACCCCCCCCCCCGCTGGCAAATCTATAAAGTGGCACAAATTGTTTTCAATGGAATTACCTTTTTATGTAAAAGGAAGCATATATTGATTGGGGAAAAATACAATAGGAGTAACTTTATGAGTAACTATTTCATATGAGGCTAGTTTCAATTCATGTTCTACTAGAGCTATTTCTGCTATGCTACAACAACATGTTCAATATATTTAGGAAGGAGATGTCATTGCCACTAAAACCTGATGATCATTGACATATTTGTTATCAGTTTTAGCTGAAGATGTGATAAAAACAAATTCCCATCCCTTATTCATAGAAAGCCTGTCTGACTGTCATAGATGTGAGATCCCTAGGTAACATTCGGCGTTCTCCTTATAAGAATTTTTCTCAATTGTAGTGAAAATCTATTTTTGTACCATATTACTATAAAAAGTATAAGTGTGGCTCAGTTTAAATTGCTTTATATTTGCTACTATGGCACAAATTTACCTTTCCTTGAATTTTGCATCTTTCAATGAAATAATACCCCTCTCCAACTTATGGCCAGTTATGGGTTACACAGACTTTCACCCCGTTAAAAATATGCTTTCACCTTATTGGAAGGCGAAGTGTTGAGATATTTTTACTGAGATAGGTACAATCAGGATTTTGCACCATTCTGCAGAAAAAACCTTGGTACCACTCTTTGGAAAGACATTTCCAAAATTCCAGATTCACATGTTAATACATTTTCACACTTTGTTTTTATTATTTTTTAGGGATACTATATCAACTACAGAAGAAGATATCGAGAGCTTCCGTTTGAGTGAACAGAATTCTCTCTCGTCTTCTCAGGTAAGGATCAAAAACAGTGGGACTTTATCTACCACTACTTTGGGTCGGGATAAGTAGTCTCACGAAAATATACCAATAAGAAAACCAGTTCCCAAAAAGTCTACATTTGATCATGGGTATTGGATCTCCTTCACACTTAATTCTTGATCACTGATCCCCAAATATTGATCCATCCAGATCTGAGTTCCCGATCAAATGTCCTAAACTTGATCCTTGGGTCATAGATTTGATCATTACTAATAATGACACATACATCCAGAGGACGATTGAATAATATCTGATAAATCTCAATTGTACGTATTAACCTATTTCAGGGTGTTTACAGCTAATGAAGTATTTCACAAGAATTGATCAGTATTTATACCTTTATTGAGCTGTTTGTGTAGTTCACTGTCACTCTATCTATCTAGCTATCTTGAACCACCCATCATAAAACTTGAAAGATAGCGTACCTGCTCAAAATGTCACAATGGTGATATTTTGAAAATGAAAAAGAACTTAAAATAGAGGAATCGTCAAGGAATAAAGTTCGTAGACATTCTGTCAATACTCTGAATTGTATATCATGTACCAGTAAAGCAAGCAATTCATTCTTAGAGAAAGAAATTGTATGAAATAAGACAAACACAATGGCTGTTCTTCTCGTGGATATATATCTAATTTAGTCAACAACTTGATTCACTGGCATGTAGCGGCCCTGATATCGATAAATTCTACACGCAATATAACCCGATACTACATGCTTGGTTAAAACTTTACACGAAAAAGCTTCGATATCCGGGCATTTACTCTTACACTGAACTGAAAATAGCATCGTCTAAACGTGTATGTGTTGGCTTCCGGGTAAGTTTATCAACATTTATACTCAATTGAAAGAGCAGTCGTGCTTATATCGTGTACCAGTTTGATTTATTTATATGTGTGTGTATTTATAACACGATAGCCTAGTAATACCGTGTCGTTAGAACAACTGCTAGATATCGAACTGATGACCCGAAATTACATTATTGGACTGGTCGCGCATCTGATATTAAATGATTACTTTGCATTGAATCTGATATTAACTTGCAACCCAATACCATGACTTTACATTTAAATGATAACACGGCCTCATATTCTAATCCATTATACGTCCATTGCAGGCCAAAAATGTTTCAATGTGGATATTGTAATGCACACGAGAATACATTGATTCGTATATTGATCATACATCAATTGAACATGGAGATTTTCCTGTACACTTTTCCCAAACCTGTGGAATAGACAAGATGCGAGTAGAAATTATCTTGATTTACGTCATCAAATATTCAAAATTCATTTTTTGAAAATATTCGAAATCATCGAATATCACTTTTTAAGACGTGATATTCGATAGTTTAAAAGTGATATTCGATGGTTTGTAAATTGTTTACTAAAATATGATATCTTGGTCACATATCAAATATATCATCATGTGATATTCGATCTATATCATTGCAACCATGGGATATAGAGGATATCCTATGATTTATGAGAGATATGATTTTTATCCACGAATGAATATGATATCTTGAGTATGTTTCCCACATGCTCTGGTGTGTTACTTGCAAAATATGTTATCATTTTGAAAAAAAATTCTAAATTTTTCCAAATTTGTTTTCAATTTTTTCAAAAATGAAAAAGAAAATTTCCAAAATTTTTTTTCCCAATTTTTTTCAAATTTTTTTCCCAAATTTTTTTTCAAGATTTTTTTCACATTTTTTGCATAATTTTTTCCACAATTTTTTCAAATTTTTATTTTCAGATTTTTTTCAAAAATGAAAAATAAATTCCAAATTTTTTGTTTCAAATTTTTTTCCCCAATTTTTTTCCCACATTTTTTTTACCTTTTTTTTGGCATACTTTTTTTCAGAATATTTTCAAAACTTTTTTTTCAAATTTTTTTCAAAACTTTTTTTTTCAAATTTTTTTCAAAATTTTTTTTTCCGAGTTTATTTTTAACATTTTTTTGAGCGGGACATACGATTTATATGTCCCGGAGCTCCGTCGGAGCGGGACATACGAAAAATATTTGCCGGATATGGAATATATTCCCGGTTGATATGCCCCTGAAACCTCATCAGGTATGGAATACATAAGGGTTATGTACAGGGAGGTCTTGGATATGGGGTTTATCCAGAGGGAGATATGCATATTTACCTGAGGGACCGTAGGGACCGAAGGTAGATGTGCATATCTCACGAGGGATGAATCCCATATCTAAGCCGACCGAACATAACTGCTTTCCTATACCAAGTAGAGTTTTCAAGGGCATATGGCCATTTCAATAGTACAAGGTGTAAAAATAAACAAATCATTCATATGCAAAGTCATTTTATTGCATTACCGGAAGCGGGAAGATATGCACCGAAGCGGGAGATATGGCGGGAGATATGGCGGGAGATATGGAGGTTCTGGATATGGAAACCTCAAAATCAGGATACGGGATATATCTTACCGGTACCAACTTATCTCCCTAAAACTCTACTTGGCATATGATAAATATAGGTTATTTACTGGGTGGGATTGAATATGGGTTTTATTCCGAGGGACAATATGATATTGACTGAAGGGTAATATAATATTGACCGAGAGCGCAGCAACCGAGTGTCAATATCATATTGCCCAAGGTCAATATCATATTTTCCGAGGAATAAAACCCATATTCAATCCTGACCAGAAATAACCTATTTATTCCATAATACATCCCTCTAGAATGTTACATTTGGATAATGCAAACGTTATATTAATAAATGCACATTGTTTGAATAATAAAATAAATAAATAAAATAACCGGGAAACTAAAAATAGGTCAATACGCTCCAATACGATTTTTTCACGGGGACAATACGATTTTTCATGTAATACGCTCCAATACGATTTTTTCACGGGGACAATACGATTTTTTCATGTAATACGCTCCAATACGATTTTTTTCCCGGGGACAATACAATTTTTTCATGTAATACGATTCAATACGATTTTAAATCCTTCATATTTCCCTGGGCACACAGTAGTATTATGGAATAAAATATATTTTCCCTCGGGACCTGCGGCCCTCGGACAGATATATTATATTTGCCTCGGGGTAATCCCAATATCCTTAACCTCATATAGGATAATCTCTATATCTACCTGATGGACCATAGGGACCGAAGGTAGACGTGCATATCTCACGAGGGATAAACCCCATATCCAAACCGATCGCACATATCTGCTTTATCATATACCAAGTAGTTTTCTAAAAAATTAATCTTATTTCCTTTTTTGAATTTTTTAAATTTTTTATTTTTATTCTCTACTCTACTTGTCAAAGGATAATAGACGATAAATATATATATATATAGTTTAGCATGATATGTACTTCTTTCTGTAACTGGAATACGATTCTAATATAGAAGCAACACATACGTATTCCCGGGGAACCATAAATATTTTGTGTAGGGTGTGGACATTTTTCTTTTCATTTCTCTAAAATCAGATTATTTTCATAAAATCCATACAAAGTTGGGCCTAAGCCTCTATTTTCGTATTCTGCATGTTAAGATATTTATAATGTAAAACCTAAGAGATAAATTCAATGTCTTCAATTGAGAATAAGTATAGGTAAATGTGTGAATTCTGCTTGTTGTTGCACTATTTTTATAATAAACAAGGTTCGATACGCAACACTGAATAGACTGCAGTCATAGCTTAGTTGTAAAGAAAACAAAAGAAGTTGGGACGTGGTCATGCTTGATTATGTTTCTTTTATATATCACCGTTTGCATTCGTTGAAATCGGCCTGCATTGATTTCAAGAGGTGGTCGGTGTACAAGGTCATATGTTTGAGTTATTGGTTTAATGATAAATGTGACCCTTGAATGCGTTAGGCTTTATGTATGCGTGAAACAAATACTCCAATGGCCTAATCTCAATTTGCCTACAAACAACATAACATTGAAATGATGGTCATCTGCATATTAACTTCCGCACCACACGTCTAACTTCGACACAATTCAGTAAAGTATCCAGTATCGCTTAAATCGCTACATGCCAGTGTTGATTGTACCTCAACATGTCACCTTAAAATCGTTTCTCTTGTTAAAATAAAAATTGCAAGTAATAACTGAGACTAGTCAGAGAGAAAACTATGTTTCAATTAAAGTATTCAATAGATTGTATTAAATACATTACATGTAACTGCGAATTATTGGAAATCATTCATGGATGTAATTGTAAATTTATCAAGAGATGGTGAATGTATCATTGTACTCAAATAAGATAACCCTTGACTTGAACTCGAACTCTATGAGAATTGAATACAATTGTTCTATTGTATTCATGTGATCCGACTGTAATATTATGTGATTTGAGCATTGTGATCATATTCCTGTATTCCAGTATGGGTTTCTCCCAGTTTATCATTGTGGACACCGTAAAAGTTTACCATATGATGCCATATAATTGTTTTTTGGGGGTGGGGGGGGGGGTGCTGTCACAAAAGTTCTTTCTTTCTTTGGCACCTAAGTGTCAGATCTTTTGTAAAGCCTTCCTATTAGACACATGTAAATTTATTGTATGAGTATTTACTCTTTACTGTACATGAAATTTATATTTTAGGCCAAACTATATGAACTAGAGAAGGTAACTTAAGCACTACATGAGTGAAATATGATGTTGTGTGTTGAAAATATTGAAAGTTATTGAAAATATTTTCAGTTAAATATTAGAATCTTTGACGCTCAATAAAATCCTGAATCAAGTCTTCATCTTCACCTGCTCCAGTTTCACTGCATTTTTTTAGCCCTGTCGCAATCGAAGATGTCAATTCTAAATGGTATTAATGTCTCATTTTCCAAATGTGATTGAAATTACAGTCATATTTAGATCCTATATCATAATGACATAATATTACCTATATTTTTATGACTTGTTAAAAAGTTCATTGTCATAGACTTGGAAACTAAAGAATAACTTGTATTTAAAGACTTGAAAGTTCTAGGATTTTATTTGGTATTAACTAACACAGATTTAATTTATTGCTTTGTAGTCATTGGATTGATTTTGTGAATAATAGTGTACAGTTTAACACACAGTCCCAAGAATTGAGGCATTTTTCCATTGGTTTACATGGAGCGCTTTCCTTGTTTTCCTGGGTCTGTGCACAAAACTGAATATTAACTCTACAATGCTGTAGTTTGAATGTATGTTGCTTGGATTGATTTTGTGATTTTGTTTCAGCACACTAATATTTTTTTGAGAGTTCCTGTTTTAGCATGTATATACAGTCTGTCACATAGCACCTAGAAATGGCTTCCATCTTCCATTGGTCAATTAGCCTTAATTTTGTTGTCTTTGTACCAGAATGTACACACAATCATGCATCCAAAAATCGAATCACATCACTGACATTAAATTTCATTACCTTGTTTATGTTGTAATTACCTATAATGAATCTTATACATAAAAAAAGTTTCAAGAAAAAGTTTTGGTATTTATTTGCATTAGTTAAAACCGCCCTAAATATTTGGGGTCTTACCATAGACTGTAATCAAAGGATGTTAATATTAGATCCACCACACTTAAAGGTTTTATGCATTTTGACCAAACCTAAAATTCAATTTATAGCAATTTTTTAGTTACATCTATCACATCTTATTTCCACTCATAACATTAAATCATTAATACAATTCAACTAGTACATAACAAATAAAAAAATGATTTTTATTGAGTTATTTGATAGGAGTATTCTAACACTTATTTTTATCAGGATATCCCAGTTAAATATTTGGCTTGGTGAATGAACCCTTAGGAATTTCTTCATTATTTTGGCATTTTGGAATTTTATTAGGGATGGGCAAAGATTGGTACTTCACCTAGTTTCTACGATCAAAGGCCAAGATCTTATGTGTCGGAAATCATAATTTATATTATGTGGCTAATTTTAAAATGTGAAAGATTTCATTAACATATATCTTGAAGGTGTCCTGTATATCATATTGTTTGATAAGAGCTTGAGATATTTTGCACAAGGTCATTTTGAAGTGATTTGATTTTCAAAAAAGTTCTAGGGTATATGCGGCCTATTGTTAATTGATGGTGGTCCGTGGTACTAAATCATGCTTATCTGAAAAAGTGTTTGTCAGAGTCTTAAAACATGGGCGGGTCTGGAATTTATTGCTAATTAATCCATCTGTAAAGTTTAAGAAATCATGCCGTTTGATTTTTTTTTCATTCTCTTGGACGTTTCAGTTTCAAGTTAATACAAATGCTATGATAATAAGAATGCCTCATCAAAATCAATCATCTGAATAAATGATAAGATAATCACTTTTTCTAAACAAAAAGAGCCACACATTAGTATTAGTATATTAGTATATGTGATGTCACAATCCTTTATTTTTATCATGTTGGCAGTATTTAAAAAGTGTTTAATCTCGCATCCTAACCATCAAAAGAAAGGCCTGTTAATCTGGTACTGTTTAAATGCAATGCATGGATTGTTGAATGGTTTGCCATTCTTTGTGTTGTTTTGTGGTACCCTGTTGTACTCATCCTAATAAAAATAACACAGTTATCATTATCAATGACTTATCAATTAATCATTTTATATTATTTTATGTTTGACAGTTATCATGAAAAATTCTCTCTATTTATTAGGGATAGTACTAATTCAATTTAGAAGTAATTTATTTCAATAAATGTTATTCAAACATATAAATAATCAACACATTTTGTCGTCAATTCATGAATTTAGAAAATAACATCTTCATTTTGCCGGTGAAGTTCCAGACTTTTTTTTATTTCTTTGAGTCAGTGACAAAACATTTAGCACCAAGTCAGTGCTGTTTTCTTAAGACTGTTCTTTCTGTATAAGCTTTTAAAACAATCTTTATTCTTTAGAGGAATGAACATTTATTGGGCTATGACTGGCAAAATGAAGACTGCCTTTACCTTCAAAATTAAATAAAGACAAATGTCATTTATTTCAATCACAGCGCTATGAAGTTTGTCAAACAATAAAATCAAGCTGATGTGAACATCATTAGTAGATGTTGAAATAAGTTATGTTTAGTTATGAATGTATGCTTAATGGAATGAAGTCAAAATAATGATTATTCATTATGTCACCACCACAAGAGGTGACATATTGTTCTAGTCACCAATGTAGCCGGTGATTGGTGTCCAGTGGTTGGTGTTTGGCATACAGCATCTGTAACAAATGGCAAGTGGTGACAGTATTACTATTGATGCCTTGTTTGTAGTTGTAATATAAAATAATTTTTTTCTTGTTTTTTTTAGCAAATTAAAGCAGCTGAGAGATACAAGAAAAGATTGGAGTTTCACTATGCTAAGGTCAGTTATGAACCCTTAAAAATGTTTTTTGGGTTGTCATGCTTTAGAATGCTATATTAAGCATAAAGGAGTACAATAAGGAATAAAGCATAATATCTGCTACATATTAAGAATTGTATAAAAATGCTCAGAAATTAAACAGTTTGGTTGAGTATTAGAGAGATAGGGTGTGGAATGAACATTTTTGGAGATATTTTAGGCAATGGTTTAATGAAATGTCTTAAGTCAAGGTTGGGTTGTTTATGTAAGAAATAACTCAATATCAGTTGCCTTAACTGAGCAAAAGGGCACTTATGTTTCAAAGAATTTCTCTATCTTATACCAAGCCTATAGTTTCTCTGTAAAGCTTTGCTTTTTTATTGGGCCTTTCTAGTCATTCCTATTTCAATGTCTCATTTTAGTCTTGTCTTTTTTATGGTTCTTGCATCGTCATGCCTATTCATATGACACCCCAATGTTATCAAAATCTCAAAATGTATACATGTATATAAATGTATTTCACTATTTTTAGATTGAGGAGTTAGAAGATAGTTATATTTTACAAGACCAGTTACGAGAGGGTGTGCGGAACATGGCACGAGCTTATGTATCACAACCAATGACACACCAGAAAGAGTCATTATCGAGCGTGAAACTTGGTTTCAAGGAATGCTCTCAGACTATGTGTGCGATAGAAGCCCAACTAGAAAATATGATGGGCACTTTACATTGTAAAATGAAAGGTAGGTTTGTAGGTTTGCATTTGGAAGATTGGGGTGTTGATAAATGCACATTTAACTTAGAAAAAGTTTGTCAAGTGTCTGTTTTAGAAAATGTGATTTATATAGTGAAATGAATTTGAAGTATTTTGTCCATCCCATCTATTTAAAGTACATGCATGTTTGCAAGTTATGAAACATTCATCAATTTTTTGAAGAATATCATTAAGGGAGGGTTTATGTACTAAATCAGATTTTGCATCCGAAAGGTTATTGTATTTTGTTTTATTATCCCATCGAACGAAGTTCGGAGGGATATAGGGAACACCTCCGTCCGTCCGTCCGTCCGTCGGTACGTACGTCCGTCCGTCCGTCCGTCCGTCCGTACATCTGTCCGTCCGTCCGGGCAATAACTCAAATACCGTTGGCCCGATTTTGTTCATATTTTGTACACATATACCCTATGGGGGTAGAAGTTCTGCTCGAAAGCCAATTTTCAAAATGGCCACTCATTTCAAAATGGTGGCCATTTTAGTGACGATTTTACAGTAATTTAGGTGCAATATGTAAAACTGTAATAGCAATATGTTTTAAATGTAAAAAAATTATAAAGGACATTAATAATGCTTCAAATGTAATTATTAAAGAAGCACATGGCAGCCATCTTGAAAAATGGCGGCCTTTACTCGTCATTTTGCGATTTTTGCTGTAACTCAAAAAATAGTGGAGCGATTTTGTTCATATTTGGTATGTGAGTACTATAAGCATTGCACACTGTCTAAAGACACTTTTGGTAGAAGGTGGCCATTTTGAAAAATGGCCGACATTTTAACGTATTTCACTATAACTCGAAAAGTAGTGGAGCGATTTTGTTCATATTTGGTATGTGAATACTATAAGCATGGCACACTGTCCTATGACTCTTTTGGTAGAAGGCGGCCATTTTGAAAAAAATTTTGAAAAATGGCCGCCATTTTAACATATTTTACTATAACTCGAAAAGTAGTGGAGCGATTTTGTTCATATTTGGTATGTGAATACTATAAGCATGGCACACTGTCTATTTCTAATGACGCTTTTGATTTATGTTGTTTTATGATATTTGCACTTTGTTTGTAAAAATGCCAGCCATTTCTGTTCGATGGGATTCGCTACGCTTTGGCGTTGCCATTGTTCTGGTTGGCCTTTATTTATGACAATTTACAATAATTTTTTTTCTTCCTCAGGAATGGTTGGATTTGCTCGTTTATGTCCTGGAGACGTATTCGAGGTCAACCTGAAATACGGCTCTCAAAAATGGAAAACACGGGGTAAAATAGGACGCAGTACTAATCAACATTGGGACAATGATTCCATGGTGTTCAAGGCACTAGTTGCTGATGTAATGTGTATAAAGGTGAGAACCCAGGGTGAATGAGACCCATTATTTGAACCCTGTGTGGAGGAACTTGTATATACAGTAAAAAAAAGTTCACATAGCAAAATTAACCATACATGTATTTGATTAATTGGAAAACCATATGCCATCAAGGCACTAGCTCAGATACATACATGAGGGTTCCTATTTTGATCATTGAGATCTATTTCCATAGAACTCTTAAAACTATTTCAGGGTTAATATACCTGGTTACCTCTTATAGCTTTTTCAAGTGCTAGAGTAGATTACATATGTACAATAATCCTCATGTTTCATGTTCATAGACAGTTTTGCAATAGCCAAGGGATGGCCTCTCAAAATGATTAGCCGTGGAATAGTGAGGTTGAATCGGTTGAGGGTAGGGTTGAATGTCAATTTCATAAATAAAAAATGTGAAAAATTTTGTAATGTAGGTGGAGAGGGAAGGTAAAACAAAATGAAATTAACTTTATTTTTCTTATCTGTGAACATTTTTAACACCATCCCTAAAACCCCCAGATATTGTATAACTTGTTTATATTTATATCTCTTCTCTGATTGGTTTACAGGTGGCTTAACTGTAACATTTGTGTTTAATGTTCCATCCAAAATTGCTAAATTGCTTTCAACTTATATATTTTATTGTTATGAAAGGTCAACACATTTATTGTACCCAGTATCCAATACTCAATTTATTGTACCCAATACTCAATTTATTGTACCCAATACTCAATTTATTGTACCCAATACTCAATTTATTGTACCCAATACTCAATTTGTTGTACCCTTACTCAATTACATAAACAGTCTGATGACCCAATAACATTACTTAAAGTGCCAAAACAAATCATGCCAGTGAGAAATAATGTGGTAACTTTTAAACAAAATTTTGTCAATATTGATTGTACTTGTACTAGCACTCCATAAGTAGTGTATCATTCACAGTAAAAGTATGATAAATGATATGCCATATTTATTTTTAAAAAACTTGCAGGCAGGCATGTCACCGTTAATAAATTACATTCTAAAGGGTTCTGGGTTATTAGTCCATAAAGATAATTATTTGCTGGAGATAATCTGTTTGGAATAGAGATTGATGGGATAAAGGATTTTTCAAATAATTATTGATATTAGAGAAAGTAGCAAAATCTAAATGAAATTACACAGTACCTTGGTTGGTTTGATGCTGTTCATTGACTGACTTTATCATAATGACTTAATCTTTCCCAAACCAGCTTGTTTGTTTTTGTTATTTAAAAGTACATTTAATTGCAAACGTTTTTTATGAGGCCTTTTTAACCCTGAGAAAAAGTTCACCAGCTTTGGGGAAACTGGTACTGTATCCACCCTTCAGATAATTGTACTAATTAGAATATGTTCAGACCTAGTTGAGTATTTGGAAAATGATGATGTAAGGGTATCTCAACCAGTTTTTAACACTCATTCTTAGAATAGATAGAAATATACAGTACAGCATAAAATTAGAGCTAAAGAAAGCCAAAGAGTATTTCAATGTTTCGTAATCACCTATGCTCATTACCCATGATTGTGAGGCCAGGTAATTGAATGTTCTTAAAAAAGTTTTAATCTTTGAGATTTTGTAAAAGTTTAAATCATGGGACTGTTTTGGCCAGTCTAAAGCTAAACGCCAAAATCAATCCATACTCTAAGAGCGAGGAGGAAAATTCTTAATAAATGGAGTATAGTTGGTTTGGCAGCATTTTCAGTTAGAGGGAAGTCTTGGATGAAAATTCTACCTAGGTGATAGCTTCACAGAGTGGTACATAATTCTTTTTTTTCAGGGGTTAGCCCCCCACCCCTCAAAAACACCCCACCCCGGAAAATATATTTTTTTATTCTCGATAATTTTAGATATCTTGATGTTTGTAAGTTACATACATAGATATTATATATATGAATCATTTGCAAAATAAATAATGCCAATCACTCCTCCAGAATTTGGAAAATACTACAAAGTATGTACCCCAGGGGGCAAATTTGTGACCCATTTTCTGACTATTTAGAGCCTCACTTTTCAATCAGACACTGGAAGACATTGAAAAATTTCATGTGAAGTGCCCAGTAGCAGGGCTATAAGCCCTGAAAGGTTCAAACTAATTGAATTAGTAGGAGCCGAGAAAGAAATTGTTGATTTTTTGAAAATTTTGACATTTTTGAGAGGGGTGATTTTGTGTATGACTATAGCTGATGCCTATGGTTTCCAGATCTATCGCTCCTTGATGATAAATATGGTTTCAAAGTATGTCACTAAGATGTAAAAAATAATTAAAATGGGTTTTAAGGAAGTTTCATGTTTTAAACAAGTTCAAAATTCCAAGAATTGTACAATATCAGGTCTGAATTTACAAATTTTAGGTAAGACCTTGGATGAGCCTTAGATTTTTTACATCTGTCCCCCTTTGATGATATTTATGGTTTTGTAGTGTGGAACTTAAATGTTCAAAATAATTTAGATGGGTTTTAAGAAGGTCTAAGAATTTTAACAAGTTCAGAATTTGAAGAATTGTACAATATCAGGTCTGAATTAACGAATTTCAGGTAAGACCTTGGATGAGCCTTATATTTTTTACATTTTGTCCCAATTTGTATTGGATATGTATGGTTTTGTAGTGTGAAACTAATTAGTAAAAAATAATTAAGATGGATTAGAAGAAAGTTTGAGGATTTTAAATGAGTCCAAAATTTGAAGAATTGTACAATATCAGGTTTGAATTTATGAATTTCAGGTAAGACCTTGGATGACCCTTATGTCTTTTAAATCCTTCCCTCTTTGATGGTATTTATGGTTTTATAGTGTGGAACTAAGATGTAAAATATAATTTAGATGAATTCTAAGAAGGTTTAAGGATTTTTAACAAGTTTAAAATTTGAAGAATTGAACAATATCAGGTCTGAATCTACGAATTTCAGGTAAGATCTTGGATGGCTCTTATGTTTTAACATCTGTCACTCTTTGATGATATGTATTGTTTTGTAGTGTGGAACTGAAATGTAAAAATGGTTTAGATGGTTTTGATGACTGTTTAGGGATTTCAATGAGTCCAAAATTTGAAGAATTGTACAATATCAGGTCGGAATTCTCGAATTTCAGGTATGACCTTGGACGACCCTTTTGTTTTTTACATCTGTTCCTCTTTGTTGATGATATTTATGGTTTTATAGTGTAAAACTTAGATGTAAAATATAATTTAGATGAATTTTAAGATTTAAGGATTTTAACAAGTTTGAAATTTGAAAAATTGTACAATATCAGGTCTGAATTTACGAATTTCAGGTAAGACCTTGGATGGCTCTTATGTTTTACATCTGTCACTCTTTGATGATATGTATCGTTCTGTAAAGTGGAACTAAGATGTTAAAAATGATTAAGATGGTTTTGAAGAGTGTTTAGGGATTTTAATGAGTCCAAAATTTAAAGAATTATATAATATCAGGTCTGAATTTTTGAATTATAGGTATGACCTTGGACGACTCTTTTTTTTTACATCTGTCCCTCTTTAATGACAGTTATAGTTTTATGGTATGGAACTAAAATGTACAATATAGTTTAGATGAATTTTAAGAAGGTTTAAGGATTCTAACAAGTTCAAAATTTGAAGAATTGTACAATATCAGGTCTGAATTTGCAAATTTTAGGAAAGTCCTTGGATGAGCCTTATATTTTTTTACACTTATCCCTCTTTGATGATATGTATGGTTTTGTAATGTGGAACTAAGATGTAAAAAATAATTTAGATGCATTTTAAGAAGGTTTAAGGATTTTAATTTGAAGAATTGTACAATATCAGGTCTGCAATAAAAGAATTTCAAGTATAACCTTGGTTAGTCCATATGATTTTAACACCTATCCCCTTTTCATGATATATTTGGTTTAGTTGTGTGGAAATATGTATAACATAATTTACATCGATTTTAAAGAAGCTTAACATTTTAAACAAGTTCAGAATCTTGGCGTATTGTACAATATCAGATCTGAAATTAATGAATTTAAAGTATAACTTTGCTTGGCCCTTATATTTTTAACATCTATCCTTTTTTGATGATATATATGATTTAGTAGTGTGGAGCTAATATATAAAAAACATAATCAAGATGGGTTTTAAAGAAGTTTAAGGTCTTAAATAAGTTAAAATTTTCACAAATTGTACAATATCAGAGCTAATATTAATGAATTTTAGGTATTATGTTTTTTACACCTATCCCTTTTTGATCCCTTTAGTAGTGTTGAACTAAGATGTAAAACAAAATTTAGACAGGTTTTAAAAAAGTTTAAGGTTTTAAACAAGTTCAAATTTTGACGAATTGTACAATATCAGAGCTGATATTAATGAATATTGGGTATTTAGGTGAGCCTTATGTTTTTTACATCTATCCCTTTTTGATGACATATATGCTTTAGTAGTGTTGAACTAAGATGTTAAACAAAATTTAGACAGGTTTTAAAGAAGCTTAAGGTTTAAACAATATAAAAAATTGAAGAATTGTATAATAACAGGTCTGGAATTTATTAATTTTAGGTATAACTGTGAATGGCCCTTATTCGTTTTTTACATATATCTCTCTATGATAACATATATGATTTTGTAGTATGAAACTAAGATGTAAAACATAATTTAGATGGGTTATAAGGAGGTTTAAGGTTTTAAACCTGTTCAAAACTTGACAAATTGTACAATATCATATCTTCTGACATTAACGAATTCCAGGTATGTATGTCTCTATGATGATATAAATGGTTTAGTAGTATGGAACTTAGATGTAAAACATAATTTAAATGGGTTTTAAGGAAGTTTTAAGGCAGAATCAGATCTATGGGTGTGACAAAATTACAAGCAACATGTACAATTCATGTACCAATCTATTCCTTACAATCTCAAATACAATATCTCCAAGAAGATTCACGATGTGTTTAAAGGCAGAATCAGATCTATGGGTGTGACAAAATTACAAGCAACATGTACAATTCATGTACCAATCTATTCCTTACAATCTCAAATTCAATATCTCCAAAAAGATTCACGATGTGTTAAAAATTGATGATGTAATAATGGATTCAAAAAGCAAAAATGGGTGAAAAATGTTTAAATTCTCCCAAAATAATAAAAATGGTAACCATTCTTATGGAAAAATAATACATTATTGTAGAAATCTTTAGTTTTCTTGAAAAAAAGTGTGCACTTTGGGGATTATTAGCAAATAGACATGAAAAGGAATGACATAAGCCAGAAATATTCAAAAAGGTCCATGTGCAGTATGGCAAGTGTCACGGTCATATATTTCACCATGAGTACTTTCTGGGCATAAATACAGTGGTTTTTATTAAAATAATGTTTTCTTTCATGTGAAGTCCCCATGAAAAATTATAAATTGGGACCCCATGTCAACAATTTTTTCTAAATGTGGTTATACTTGAAATGTAGTGTTAATTGCCGAATTAATATTGTACAATGCGCCAAGATTTTGAACATGTGAAAATCCTTAAACCTTCTTAAAATCCATCTTAATTGTTTTTTTACATCTTTTTTACATCTTAGTTCTTCAAAACCACACATATCTTCAAAGAGGGACAAATGTAAACAATATGTGGCTCACCAAAGGTCTTACCTGAAATTCGTAAATTCAGACTGGCTATTATACAATTTTTCAAATTTTGAACATGTTAAAATCCTTAAACCTTCTTCAAATCCATCTTAATTGTGTTTTTTTTACATCTTAGTTCCACACTACAATACCATACATATCTTCAAAGAGGGACAAATGTAAACAATATATGGCTCACCAAAGGTCTTACCTGAAATTCGTAAAGTCAGACCGGATATTATACAATTTTTCAAATTTTGAATTTGTTAAAATCCTTAAATTCCTTAAACATTCTTAAAATTCATCTAAATTATATTTTACATTTTAGTTCGTTACTATAAAAGCATAAATATCATTAAAGAGAGACAGATATAAAAACATAAGGGTCATCCAAGGTCATACCTTAAATTCGTAAATTCAGAGCTGATATTGTACAATTCTTCAAATTTTGGACTCATTAAATTCCTTAAACCTTCTTCAACACCATCTAGGTTATTTCTTACATATTAGTTTCACACTACAAAACCATAAATATCATCAAAGAGGGACAGATGTGAAAAATATATGGCTCACCAAAGGTCTTACCTGAAATTCGTAAATTCAGACCTGATATTGTACAATTCTTCAAATTTTGAACTTGTTAAAATCCTTAAACCTTCTTAAAAACCATCTAAATTATTTTGTACATCTTAGTTCCACACTACAAAGCCATAAATATCATCAAGGGGGGACAGATGTAAAAAATCTAAGGCTCATCCAAGGTCTTACCTAAAATTTGTAAATTCAGACCTGATATTGAACAATTCTTCCAATTTTGAACTTGTTTATACATTAAACTTCCTTAAAACCCATTTTAATTATTTTTTACATCTTAGTTCCATACTTCAAAACCATATTTATCATCAAAGAGGGATAGATCTGGAAACCATAGGCATCAGCTATAGTCATACACAAAATCACCCCTCTCAAAAATGTCAAATTTTTCAAAAAATCAACAATTTTTTTCTGGGCTCCTACTGATTCAATTAGTTTGAACCTTTCAGGGCTTATAGCCCTGCTACTGGGTACTTCACATGAAATTTCTCAATGTTTTCCAGTGTCTGATTGAAAAGTGAGGCTCTAAATAGTAAGAAAATGGGTCACGAATTTGCCCCCTGGGGTACATACTTTGTACTATTTTTCAAATTCTGTAGGAGTCATTGGCATTATTTATTTTGCAAATGATTCATATATATAATGTCTATGTATGTAACTTACAAACATCAAGACATCTAAAATTATTGAAGATGAAAAAATTATTTTCCGGGGGTGGGGTGTTTTTGGGGGGTGGGGGGCTAACCCCTGAAAAAAAAGAATTATGTACCACTCTGTGAAGCTATCACCTAGGTAGAATTTTCGTCCAAGACTTCCCTCTAACTGAAAATGCTGCCAAACCAACTATACTCCATTTATTAAGAATTTTCCTCCTCGCTCTTAGAGTACCATGTTTATTTGGGGTTAATTAAAATTCACATGTTATTTTTTTTTTTTTTTTTTTTTTTTTTATTATTAAATTAATCATTTGTACAAAGAATACATACAATAATACAGTGTAAGTGGCTGTGCTTTTAGCATTATTAGCCACGTTCTACAATTACAATATACAATGTATTCAATCAATAATATTTGATTAAAATAAATGAGATACAATAAGATAAAAGTTGTTTTGTGGAGGATTTCAGACATTTACACATCGCTCGAAGAAAATGGCACTGCACTTTAAAACAATCAGATTCTCAGCTCTACTTAATGTTTTATCACCATTGAGGATCAGAGAAAGTTTATCACGTTGTGTCTTATATTTACGGGAGTATTGTATATTCATATTTTTTAGTTGGTTTTCTAATTCAGTCCAGAATGTTAATCTCAAGTTACATCGAAAAATCACATGGCTGGTTGTTTCACTGTTAATACCACATGAGCATATGGGGGAATTTACATTGGTAAAGTTATGCGAGTAAAGGTGAGCCTTGAAAATGAAATCACATCGTACTCTGTTAAATATAATTTCTTGGTTTCTTGAGATGGACAGTTCTGATGAGTTAATGACAGTTTCGTTAAAAATATTTATTTTTAGGCTTGATTTAAATATGCTTAAGCTAGATGAGTTCTTTATATCAGATGGCAGTAGATTCCATTCTGATATTGTTTTTGAGATACAAGATCTTTCATAAAATTTGGATTTAACTGGTAAAATATAGTCAAGTTGGTGTCTTAGTACATGTGTTTGATTTCTTTTTAGTGGTTCAAATATCTCAGTAACATAAGAAGGCAGCAAATTGTTGTGAGCTCTATACATAAAGGTAGCTCTATGATATTGACGTCTATTTGAGAGTGTGGGCCAATTTAAAGTATTCAACACTTTTGTGGTTGATGTTCCATGCATGGCACCTGAACAAATAAGTGCAGCTTTATAGTAAAGGCGGTCTAAAAGTTGTAGTTTTGTCAAATTTGCACATCCGTAAAGAATATCACAATAATCAAAGAGTGGCAAAATAAAAGACTTAAAAATTGTTTCAAGGTGTTTTCCACTTATTTTCTTACTGAAGACTTTTAACGGATTTATGAGTTTATCTATTCTTGCTACAAGTTCAGTAATGTGATAGTCAAAAGTGAGATTTTTGTCCAAAATCAACCCCAAGTGCTTGTGATTGTTTACTCTTGGTAACTTGTCATTACCAAGGGAAAGATCTGGGGTCAAAATTTCGCGCTTTCTTGGATTAAAAAAAGTCATATCTTTACTTTTACTAGCTTTGAAGTTTAATTTCCATGTATTTGACCATAAGAGAATTTTATTTAGATCCTCTTGTAATTCATTATTCTTAGCAGCTGCTGTTTCAGCTGTGAAGGATTGGTAAAGTGACGTGTCATCTGCATATATAAAACATTTGGTATTTAAGTTATCAGGTAGATCATTGATATAAATTAAGAACAGGAGGGGGCCTAATATGGAGCCTTGAGGTACTCCTGCGTTTATATGGTTCATCTCAGATAGTTCAGACTCATGGCCATCCAATACAACTTTTACTTGTCTATTTGATAGGTAAGATTTCATTAATTCTATGATGTTATGACCAAAACCATACATTTTCAGTTTTTTTAATAGTAGCCCATGGGGCATTGAATCAAAGGCGGCCGAAATGTCAAGATAAATCCCCCTTACATTGGCCCCATTTTCAATTTCATTAGTTATGACATCAATTATACTTAAAAGCTGTGCCTGGGTGCTGTGACCTGGCAAAAAGCCACTTTGGAGGTTATAAAATAAATTGTTCACAATGAGATGGTCAAAAAGTCTTTTGAAGATTACGCGTTCTGCAACTTTAGATATACAGCTCAGAAGAGTGATAGGTCTATAATTTTTTACATCCGTTTTGTCTTTACTTTTGTGAATTGCTACAACGTGGCCTATCTTCCAAGAATGGGGGTATTTATTAAGAATGAACACATGTTACATGTCACATGTTATCAACACAGCAGCAAACTATACTGTGTTACTGTGTGAAACATTTGTTGTTGCTAGATCTGTTAGAATTAAACCCTCTGTTTTATGAGTTTGTGTTGAACTTCACTGTGCACATAGTTTACAATTAGAAACTAGGTTTATATTTAATGAGGTCGTTTTAACCTGCACTGTATAATTGTTTTCCATGTTGCCTTCACCTGCTTACATTCTAATTGTATTTACTTTTGTTAGAGGGTATTTCCATTCAGTTTTGTTCATCAATTAACATAGTGATACACATGTCATTTGGCTTTATCTATTGACTTTGTGATACACATAAAGTACCACCATTTGCTTTCAAATACACACCATGCAGACGCAAGTGATTATAACATCTAACCCTTCTTCAATCTATTGCAGGCATCAGAAGTGAAAAGTCTCGGGAAACACATGTTGTTAGGACAAAAAAACTGTGAAACTAAAGACTTATTCTCATCTCATCCTCAACTTATGACTATCAGTATCAATACTAACGGGTCCCTTAAGCTCAGTGTAGTAATAACATGGAAGTAAGTACCTAGTAACAAATGTTGTGTAGTTTCTATGGGGTCTTTATCTGAAATAATACATGGTGATTGGGTTCATATGTATATTATGTGAGTAATTGTTGCCTTAAGGTAGGCCTAGGAGGTTATTTTTCAAACCTATCGGCATATTAATGACTCACTTTAGTCAGCCTTCCTTAAAGTGCTTTTACATGTAAAATAGAATTTGTTTGTAGTTTTCTTAATTCATTCTGCAATCTTAAAAGCTCATATCAATATCTATTTTCACATAACAGTTATAGGCTATTATTGTACTGTATCACTTGTCTACTAAACTTCACCCCTTTATTTACCCCTTACCAATGTTTAGAAGAGAACAAACGACAGAACAACAATCTACATGGATGCACAGTCATGTACACAACTCCAATAAACTAATCAGGGGATGTAAAAACATTGGGCCAGTTTGAGCCTTTTCTTGGGGCTGTGTGTTAGAATGTGCACTTATCTGTACTGTGTACTTGATGTTCAATAACATTTTGTGATTTCTTTAGTCCTTTAGAGGGAGTTGATGAAAACATGTCATATTATGATCCACCACCTAAACACCATGCGACACCAAAGAAACCACTTCCAAATGCTGATGAGGCAGTTTATAGAATAAAACATGGGGTAAGTTGAAACCTGGGGATAAGTTGAAACATTGGTTAAACCTTAGTTCATAAACAAGTATGAATATAGCGTGCAGTTGTTGTTGTACTTTACCAGAGCAATACCTCTGAGGGAATGATTCACAATTTCTGTATTTAACTGGGTAAAACTGGAACCATTTGTGTTAGAGGTACAATGTACAATGTACATGTACATGCTCTGACCACCTGAACTATTCCAGGCTGACTAAAATAAATACAAAAACCGTATAGTGCTCTTAGTGTAAATGTTAGTTTCCTGTTTTCATATGTGCTTTCTGATGAACATTTTGTACTACTTATTTACTGGATTGTACTGCCAGGATCTTATTATTCACCATCCCTATTATGTGATTGATAAATAATTTTCCTTAGCCAATTTTTTTAAGAATGTACTTTTCTGCTTCTAGGCCGACCAACTTGACAGCTATTACTACGATGGTTCAGGTACAAGTACGGATGATTCCCCAAAGAGACGACAACGTCCAAAGACAGAAATAATTGAACACACGATATATGAAAATGAAGACTATACACGACCGCAAAGACCAAAAAGTGAAATGTTAGATCACTTAGGCCACTCAAATGGATCATTACAACACGATAACAGATCATTTCAACGTGATAATCAAACAAACGGTGCCACCAGTGGCGGAATATCCCATAATACCCGATTATTAGATGCATCGGTGGCATCAGTTGCAAACTTGCCAAAGCCACAGTTATTTGATATGAGATTGTTAACAGACTCTTTGGAGAATACCACAGATGCTGGCAATAAGAGTAATAGTCTTGAAGATGCCTTATATAGTCTCATAACTGTATTAGAGGATTATCAAGGACAATACACTGAACTGCAAAACCTTGAGGAACAAGTTGCAAAACTAGATAAACTTTTAAAGGTAAGATTTTCAAATGTTTGAAGTAATTGAATGTTTTCTCGTATTTCTCTGATTGAAGATTTTATTTTTTAACCAAGTATTATTTCATACACTTTACAAGTATATCTTCAAAATTGGCCAAATACATCTGTAGTATTATGAACTCAAGAAGTATTGATGTTATGTTTAAGTAGGGCAGTGCCATTCGACCAAAATCGGACCGAACCACAAACTTTTGCTTGAATACCGGTATTCAGAACTTTCATATCATGTTCCGAATGGTTTGGAACTGGTTTGGAACATCGGAACCTTACCTACTATTGGCTTTGAACTGTTAATATTTAAGTCCAGTGTTTCCCCGGTTAAAGGAATATTCCTTGCCAAATCATCTCTCTCCTCATATGGTAGCTATAACCATATATATGCTTGCCATGTTTAGCAAAACACGCAAAAATGTTTTGATGTGATCAAATTTGATCACTTAGAAATGTGATGCTCAATTCCAGTAAGCTGCCATCTTTTAAAATTTCACACAGGAAGTGATGTCATCGACTCTCAACTTTGCATATAGCATTAGGTGAGGAGCTATTAAGAATTACAAAACCAGCTAAATATTCTTTTTCAACTTTGTATCTTATTTAATCCTTCTGAAAATCTCTTCTTTTATTCTAAGTTGACAAGCCCTGAAAATATTTTTGCACAGAAAGTAATGATCACTTGTCTAGAAGTGATTTTGTGGTACTTTCCTATACTGTTATGGGCAAGGTTATAGAAGTTGAGAGTTGATGACATCACTTCCTGCAAGAAATCTTAAAAGATGGCAGCTCACTGGAAATAGGCACTAGATTTTTAAATGATCAATATTGACCATATTAAAACATTTTCCCATGTTTTGCTAAATATGGAAACTAGTACCATATATATGATTATAGCTACCATATCAAGAGAGAAAGGGTCTGGCAAGGAATATTCCTTTAAGTTTTCCTTAGTCGCATACATATAATAAATAGCGATGAAATCAAGTTATCTTTTGATTTGAGAGTATGACCTTCAGTTTTCACCGGAAGACTACGCTTAGTGGATTCATTCATATGTGAGGGGGCTTAAAGTTAACTTTAGAGTTTTACTTCCACTCGATCAAAACAAATACAAAGCGATATGCAAATTATGCCAAGACACTGTCGTATCAAGCAGGTTTGTTTCTTTTTTGTTTCTTTTCGTTTGTGGTCGGATAGGGGTTCCGAAAGTTCCGATATGTGAGACTTAGTTCCGATTCTGATTCCGAACTGTCCAAACTGATTCCGGCACAGCCCTATGTTTAAGTACAGGTATTAATATCAATATGTTACATATTTCTACAGATGCTATGAAGGAGTTCATTCACACATTATGATATAATAGTTAAAGTGTACATGAGTTTTCAAACCCTTACAACTTTGATACAACTGCATCGAAACAATATACAGAAAAACTATTAGTTTTAACATCACTAGGACTGGGAAGTGTTTGTTCACATTTCAAGATTTAACATGGGAGTCAATGGGAGAATAGAATTTGTGTGTGAGGGTTTCAGGTTAGAAAGATGTTTTGAATCATATAAGTTTACAATGTTATGACAAATCTTTTTTTTATTCAGTTTTATTCATTAGAATTATTCATTTCAAAATACAAATACAAGTAGTGACTGTGAATTGAAACATTGATAGGCGCATTTAAATACATTTGAATACACATAATATATGGTCACTGGTTTAAAAGAAAACAAGTTTAAAAGAAACAAGTGGGAGAGTATTAGTGAAGAAATGTAAACGTTTCAAATGTCTCTTTTGCTAAATTTCATTGTGTCTTCATGTATTCGACTGGACTTTCAGAGTTATGGTGGGTTATATAGAGAAATTGTCTCTGCTTTACAGAAAGCAAAACAAGCCAATATGAAGCAGGTAAACAGTAGATGCAGTAAACAGTAGATGAATGATATGAATGATACATACATACTAGAATAAGGCCTAGTTTTAAGATTTTTTGGTGAAACATGCATGCTATGTTGGACTGGAGGGTACACAAACACATCACTCCAGATATTTGTGTGTCAACCCCTTCGCCTTCTCTCTCTCTAAAAATCATAACTTTGCCATTAATGGTATGGAGAGTGGAAGGGTGAGGACTCATGATAATAAAGCATTTTCATTGGGACGGGGAGATATGTACTAGATAAAGGATGTTTAAATAAAAGTAGGAAGGAATATTCCTGCCATTAGGAGACTCCAGGAGCGAAGCATGACTAAGTTAATATTTTTTGAATGTGATTGTCATATTTAAAGTTATTGCTTATTATTCAAGTCAGAGGTGAAGCTAATGTACTTAGTTAATTGCAATAACTGTGCATTTCTAAATGGGTGTGTTTATATCTAGTATTGGCATCATGGTGCAATGGATATATATCAATACAATATTTGTAGATTTCAATACAATACAATGGGTGTTTTCATATTGGTTGTACAGGGTACTCATTAGAATTACTTTCAATAGACAAATTGAATAAAAACTGGCCTTGTGCCTACTGGTTTTAGTGAAACCCCTGTTGTATATTTCAATGCAATAGATGTCTATTTCGATTATGGGTTTATTAAATGCGATGGGTGTATATTTTAATGCAATGGTTGTAATTTCAATGCAATGGTTGTGTATTTCATTGCAATGCTTGTAATTTCAATACAATGGTTGTGTATTTCATTGCAATGCTTGTAATTTCAATACAATGGTTGTGTATTTCAATGCAATGGTTGTGTATTTCATTGCAATGAACTTGTTATTTCAATGCATTGGTTGTGTATTTCATTGCAATGGTTGTAATTTCAATGCAATGGTTGTGTATTTCATTGCAATGCTTGTAATTTCAATACAATGGTTGTGTATTTCATTGCAATGCTTGTAATTTCAATACAATGGTTGTGTATTTCAATGCAATGGTTGTGTATTTCATTGCAATGAACTTGTTATTTCAATGCATTGGTTGTGTATTTCATTGCAATGGTTGTAATTTCAATACAATGGTTGTGTATTTCATTGCAATGCTTGTAATTTCAATACAATGGTTGTGTATTTCATTGCAATGAACTTGTTATTTCAATGCATTGGTTGTGTATTTCATTGCAATGGTTGTAATTTCAATGCAATGGTTGAATATCTCAATGCAGTAAGCCGTATATTTCAATGCAGTGTCTGTATGTTAAAAGTTATGCTGTATATTTCAGTGCAGTGGTTGAATATCTCATGACAGTGGTTTTATATTACAATGCAATGTTTGTATATTTCAGAAGCGAATGGGTGCGGGAAGTGGGAGATCATCCAATGTTAGTATTTCAATAGAGAGTGCCCTGGAAGCTTTTGACTTCTTGGAGTCTGAGGATGTCACCGATGACATGGAACCTTCATCTTACAAGTTAGTAAACTTATATCTTTAATAATACATAATTAATGAAAGAAGCTGAAGATTTTTTGTGTGCCAAGAAAATTGTCACACTCTGGGAACTTTAAAACAATCTTGAAAATATTTTTTAGATTAGTCAAATTGTTGTACACTAGGTACCCTTTGCATTTGTTCAACTTCACTTAAAAGAGAGCTTCGTCTTCACTTAAAAGAGAGCTTCGTCTTCACTCTTTCAGTTTACAATACATCTCTGATCTCACCGAGCCATTCAAAGTTTGTTGACGAAATACAGACGACTTTCTATTTGGTCATTTGCTCTGACATCACCACATAGTTAATGAGCACGTATTTAGCTTGAATTCATGATTTCACAATGTTGCAAATAACTGATTTTCATTATTGAAAGTACTGTGACTAAAAGATAGCATATTGTTTGTATGGAGTGATATGCTGAAAATATTATGCAGTATAAGTACATATTTTTATACCATTATAGCTACAGCAGGAAGGCGAGTCTCGAGACTCGGCTCCAGAGTCCTGATTCCACCCAGAGGACGGCAGACTCGGGTATAGAATCCCTGGGTAATCGACTGTCAGAGGATGGCCATCTCTCCAGCGGGGGATGCAGCCCAGAGCCCCCCTCTACTGGAAATGATGAGGTTGATGTTGCTCTTATACAACACTTGGCGTACTGTGAACGACTGCTGGAGGTATGTGATTGTGTCGTGTTTTTCAAGTTTTAATACAGCAATATTTGCACACAAACCAATGGAGCAGAGGGAATAACAAACCACAAGTTAAAAGACATTCAATGACTGCAATTCATATGAGTGTGAATTAAGTGGGATTAATTGTGAAAAAGGATCAGTTGATCAAACTTTCTTCCAATGCTAAAGCTGTAATAAAATTATTTGCCAAATCAAAGATAATTGGTAGGATTTGACAGTGAAGGCTTTGAGTGTAACAAATTAATGAAAATTAGGAAATTATAAAATGAATGAGAATTGTTATCCCTGCTTGAAGAAAAATTCTGTTGAAACACTGCAATGTTGCTGAATTATTAAATGTTTTCTTGATTTGATGTTTGTTAAGATAAATTGCACATCCACTTGAGATTATACTGTAAAAGCCTAAATTTTTTTGACAGCAAAAATTGCACTATTTTGTCAATCTTAAATGTTTCATGGGCATTAAATTCCACTTGAAATATCCAATTGGATTCAATGTTAAATCAAATTATCGCTACATGCGTTTAATCCCATGGTCTATCCTCTTCAGCGAAAATAGTGAAAATAAGGGCACCTTGAAAATTTGGGCTTTTACAGTATAAGAAACTGTTTGATTATGAAAAAAGAACGACATATTTACACATTTCCAGGATTCTAAAGAGATTATCAATAGGTTTATGTAAATCTCAAGGATTGATTTGACTTAGGGGCGGGGTCAAAATATCAATGTTCATATGGAGACGAAAGTAATTTTGTTTGGACAACAACCCCCCCACCCCCCCTCTAGACGAAAGCTTGGGTCACTTCAAAAAAACATTGGCATAATCGTATCCTATTTGCCGGGTTATTATTACAGTGAATTAACACACGTTCGCAATTTAACTGCATTGAACTCTTCAAAAGGAGGAGGGAAAAGTACGGAATTTATTTGAAAAATGATCGAATTATCGTCTTTATCTACCGATATTTTGGACCTATCACACAAAAAAGCTCACGAACTATTGAAAACAAGCCTTTTTATCAGAACATAGCGCCAGAAAAAGTGGGTAAGTCCAATTATTTTTTGTATATCAGATCCGAATTATCGATGTTTTTTTGGTCAACGAAAGTGCCCAAAAACCCCCTCCCCCCCTCGCGAAAGTACTTTCGTCTCCATATGAACATCGATATTTTGACCCCGCCCCTTAGTTTGATTAATTTGTGAATTATATTGTCAGATGCACTTTGTTATGAATTATATTATCATTATATGTAATATGTATAATTAAATATTGTTGAAAAATGTTAAGATTTTCTTGTATCATCATTTCAAAGGTTTAACATTTTGGGGATGTCTACTGAAATGTAGAAATGTTTTTTCCATGTAAAAACCCCAGAAAAAGATTGATTTTATTATTACTGAATGACATATACAAGTGCAAAATTTCAATAGTCTCATTGCTCAAATTGTCTAAATTGTATGCTCAGTTTTAGAAATATGTATGTGTATCTCCTTCAGTACTATATCTAAATCACCATTGTACATTGCCTTTATAATATGTTGTTTTTCTTCCAGAACCTGGGTAACTTTGGTCCACTAAAATGTAAAGAGATCTACTCATTAGATAAACTCCAGAGACAGAGCGATATCATAGAAAGTCTCATAGAAATTGCCCAAAGGGGTGCACATATCACCAATCTAGAGGAAGGTAGATACTTGTTATTTGCTAATGTTTTTTCTTATGTTGTCCTTTCAGTCGATATGTTGTGACATGCGCAAAGCTCTATTTAGTGATATTTTCATTTCAAATATGGCGGCCAATCCGATGTCTGACAACCCTTACAAAGAATCTAGGCAGTGTGCATTTTTATCTCGTGTGAAAAAACAAGTGGAATTTAGTAGTTGTTTTGTGTTTTATTATCCCATCGAACGAAGTTCGGAGGGATATAGGGAACGCCTCCATCCGTCCGTCCGTCCGTACATACGTCCGTCCGTCCGTACGTACGTCCGTCCGTACGTACGTACGTCCGTCCGTCCGTCCGTCCGTCCGGGCAATAACTCAAATACTGTTGGCCCGATTTTGTTCATATTTTGTACACATATACCCTTTTTTTCAAAATGGCCGCTCATTTCAAAATGGCGGCCATTTTAGTGCCGATTTTACTGTAATTTAGGTGCAATATGTAAAACTTTAATAGCAATATGTTATAAATGTAAAAAAATTATATAGGACATTAATAAAGCTAGAAATGTAGATATTAAAAAAGCACATGGCAGCCATCTTGAAAAATGGCGGCCTTTACTCGTTATTTTACGATTTTTGCTGTAACTGGAAAAGTAGTGGAGCGATTTTGTTCATATTTGGTATGTGAATACTATAAACATTGCACACTGTCTAAAGACACTTTTGGTGGAAGGTGGCCATTTTGAAAAATGGCCCCCATTTTGACATATTTTACGATAACTCGAAAAGTAGTGGAGCGATTTTGTTCATATTTGGTATGTGAATACTATAAGTGTGGCACACTGTCCTATTACACTTTTGGTAGAAGGCGGCCATTTTGAAATTTTTTTTGAAAAATGGCCGCCATTTTAACATATTTTACTATAACTCGAAAAGTAGTGAAGCGATTTTGTTCATATTTGGTATGTGAATACTAAAAGCACGGCACACTGTCAAATGACACTTTTGGTAGAAGGTGGCCATTTTGAAAAATGGCCCCATGGTATTTTACTATAACTTGAAAAGTAGTTCAGCGATTTTGATCATATTTGGTATATTTCATATTTTATATGTGAATACTATATAAGCATGGCACACTGTCTAATGACACTTTGGGTAGTAGGCGGCCATTTTGAAAAATGGCCACCATTTTTACGTTTTTTACTATAATTTGAAAAGTAGTGAAGCGATTTTGTTCATATTTGTTATGTGAATACTCATGAGCCTTGCACACTGTCTCACGACACTTCAGATAGTAGGCAGCCATTTTAAAAAATGGATGTCATTTTTACATTTTTTACTATAACTCGTAAAGTAGTGGAGCGATTTTGTTCATATTTGATATGTGAATACTCTAAGGATGGCACATTGTCTAATAAAACTTTGTACTTGGCCATTTTGAAAACCACCATTTTTATGTGTGTTATTTTACAAGTACATGTGTGTGATTTTTCAAAAATTTTATGTGTGGCTACTTAAAAGCATATAATTTCTTCTGATGACAACTTGGCTAGTGAGCAACCATTTTGAAAATGGTGGCCTTTCTGGTGTGTTGTTTTATGATATTTGCTATATATTTCGTTTGTAAAAATGCCAGCCATTTCTGTTCGATGGGATTCGCTACGCTTTGGCGTTGCCATTGTTCTGGTTATCATTCTGCATCGTAATTCTATGTGATGTGGTGTTAAAATGTCAGCAGAAATACATATCCATACGATTATCGAGTGAATTAGATAACAGATTCTTCGAAAACCCGTCTCCTGCTAAGAGTTTAAAAACTTGTATTAACATGCTCAAAAGTGTCAATGTGCACATCAATGTCAAGCTAAATCAATGTTATGTCTAAAACAGGTACATGGTCTACTCAAAACAGCTTGACATTCACGTACACACGCTTAGCAAACAAGGCGAAATGATCTGAATCTTGGAATTTCGTTCGAGAGCTAGTAGTGTTTGCTCCGGTCTTTGTCATAAGTGTCCTCAGACTTCATGCATGCTCAGCAGAAAACCATCAACCAATAACTTTTATAAATCAATTTTGCGCATGCGCCTTACAAAGGTAAAGAAATTCGTATTTATAAACGAACCAATTTGAGAAAACCCGATATCAGTCGGAAAAATCTGACGATCTACGAAACTCACTTCAAAAAATCAAATGCAGACTTACGGCGTATTCTACTATACTAGGATCTAAGATTTTCAGTATAGATAAAGTATTTTATGATCTTTCGAATGAGGTAAGTCTCTAGTTCGAAAGACAATCGTATCAACTTGAACAAAAGTTGAGTTTTGACGAAAAATTTTAACATGCGCAGAAGTCCCATTTTCGTTGTACCATATTGACTGCTTTGTCCTATTAAAAAATTCAAGTTTGTAATGGAATCTTACGTTTTGTTTGCAAGTCATTGATCATCTAAGAGACAATGGGTTTTCTAGAAATCATAAGTTAACGAGTGTACTGTTGAGCACTGTTTCTCTTTGTAAATCTTACAAGTTAAAAAATGCAAAAATTAAACCCAAATTTTCACCAATTGGAATTCATGTTATGCCAGAGAAAATACTGATATATTGACAAATGACCTTATACAAACACATTTTGTATATATTGTTCCAGTGATGCATGAACTGACCCATAGTATGGAAGAGAAGAAATTCTGGGTAAGCTGTGTTGACAACTATGTCCTCTACACAATGCCTGACCGATTCCTACTCCAGTTAGAGAAAAGCTTTGGTGACAAAATACGGGAAAAATATGATACTGCTTCAAATAAAGGTAAGGATTTAGCAAATTTTGATTTTCGTTTATGTCCCCACCACATAGTGTGGGGCCATATTGTCGGCCTAGGCGCGTCCGTCCGTCCGTCTGTCTGTCCGTCTGTCTGTCCGTCTGTCTGTCCGTCTGTCCGTCCGTACGTCCGGCAGTTTTCTCCAAAACCGCTACAGATATCACCTTCAAATTTTCAGGGATAACTTATGAGTGCATACAGATGTGGATGAAAAAAAATTAACTCGAAACCTACTTCCTGTCGGCCATTTTGAAGTCAAATGCTAAAATCCTTGTCTGCAAACTTTAAGAAAAACGGCTTCACAGTTGCTTTTAAAACTTTAACATCTTGTTCAGCTCACTTCATTCTAGATCTGATTAGGTTTTGGACCTGTTAGCTCAGTCATGTCAGCCATTTTGAATGTTTTAAGAAAAGTTAGCGCACGATAATACTTTGTATCATATTAAATGGTGTTTTTCAGTTTTCATACTTTAACTATTTAGTAGCTTTATAAATAATTTCAGGTGTACTTTGTTGTAAAAGCCTATGTTATTGTTAACAGTAGTTATATGTGATAATTTTGTAAGAAGAAATCAGCAAAAACTCATAATCACTTTTTTATTGTCGGCCATTTTGGATTTTTCCGTCCTAAAATCTTGTCTGTAAAGTCTTGTCTACGCGTTTTCAGGTGAACCGTTTGGTAGATCAATTTCAAATTTTCAGGGATGATTCTTAGTATGAAAATCTAGATCTGATTAGTTTTTGGGCATTCTGGGTAAATGTCAAGGCAGCCATTTTAGATTTTCCGTCCTAAAATCGTGTCTGTAAAGTCTTGTCTGCGCATTTCCAGGTGAACCACTTGATAGATCAATTTCAAATTTTCAGGGATGATTCTAAGTATGTAAATCTAGATCTGATTAGTTTTTGGGCATTCTTGGTAAATGTCAAGGCAGCCATTTTGGATTTTGTGTCCTAAAATCTTGTCTGTAAAATCTTGTCTACGCATTTCCAGGTGAACCGTTCGGTAGATCAATTTCAAATTTTCAGGGATGATTTTTAGTATGAAAATCTAGATCTGATTAGTTTTTTGGCATTCTGGATAAATGTCAAGGCAGCCATTTTGGATTTTGTGTCCTAAAATCTTGTTTGTAAAGTCTTGTCTACGCATTTCCAGGTGAACCGTTTGGCAGATCAATTTCATATTTTCAGGGATGATTCTTAGTATGAAAATCTGGAACAGATTAGTTTTTTGGACTTCTGGATAAATGTCAAGGCAGCCATTTTGGATTTTCTGTCCTCAAATATTGTCTGTAAAGTCTTCTTTACAGGTTTTCTGGTTAACTGTGTGACGGATCAATTTCAAAATTTCAGGGGTGGTTCTTAGTATGAAAATCTAGAACTGACTAATTTTTTGGCATTCTTGGTAAATTTTAAGGTGGCCATTTTGGATTTTCCGTCCTCAAATTGTGTCGGTAAAGTCTTGTCTACTCATTTTTAGGATAACCATTTGACGGGATCACCCATAGGTGGGGACATTTTGTACACATTTGTGTTCTTGTTTATTTTATTTTTAAATGAGTATTGCTTTAACAGGATTGGTCATTGTAACTCATAAACAACAAAGGATGAAATTCACATAGCATATTTTTCTTGAAAGAATAAGTTTAGCAGAAATAACAAACTTGTTAAGTGTGATGAAAAACTGATGCTTTTTTGAAAGAGAACATTTGATCCATTTTTCTACTGCTCATGAATTGTTTTATTTTTCCAGTGTTACGCTGCCTTGTTGCTCGTATCTTAGATATCCCAATGTACGACCCAGACCATCCCCCTCCAAACACTGTCATCACGCTACACCAGTTCATGGATTTCTTCAACGAGACAGAACACAGCGACCTTGGATCTTTTGCAGATAATTTAGCCAATGATGGTGAGTTGAGCATTCACCTCTTAGGATATGTTAGAATTTTCTTTTCTTCAGTTTAGTTTGAATTTAACTAATATAGTTCTTTCTTAGTCTAGATATCTGTTAGATCTTTATATATACTAGACATTCACATTCATCATAAACTAATTTTTGATTTCATTCTTTGTTTTTAAAATACATGTTGTAACATTGTAATGTTAAGCTTTATTGCAAATTTCCTATTCTAAGAAGTCTTTATCTACTCAGTAATATCTGATCCCTTAAAGACCCCATGTTAAGTAAAAAAAATGCTATATTCAACATATCCACAAATATTTGCATGGGCCCTTTAAAAGGGTTCACTCTCTTCTGGCTCTTATAATCATGCACCTATTTAATCATAATCAAGTTACATCCCTTGCTTCAAAGGAAGCAAGATTCCCTCCCCGTCCCAAATTGCTGCTTCACCCTCAAATAGATTTAATGCTTCATTCAACTGGGCTCATATAAGCTTAATAAGTGTGATAGAATAAGTGTGATAGTCTTGTAAACTAACACTAATATGTGTATACAGTATATAGGCTGAAAATCCTTGATGTTATGGGCAAATATGGATACAGCTACAAAGCATGCTGAGAAGCTTTGCTTTAAGTGCATCAGAATGATTTCACAACTGGTCAAAATGAGTTATGAAATAGTTAATTTTATTTTCCAATACATGCTGAAAAAATGAACCCGCTTAGGTTGAAACTGACTGGTTCTTGGCCTCTGGTCCTTTGCTTATTAACCAGTCTAGACTTTTTACTTTACCCCTCCAAAAATTAAGATACCTGCCTTTCATCCATATTCTATCCGATCCTTATCATACCATTACCATTAGCATAATAGCTCATAAGTAGATAAGTGCAAAATTACGGAAGGTAAGCTTGAGAAAATAGGCGCTTTAGCTTTGCTACCAATACCGCTTATTGAAAGTTATGCAACATATTTAAAGCCTTTCGTATGGTATATTACAACTTCTGATTTCGATTTGTAGACACAGAAAATATGAGCCTTTTTGTTGATGATCTGGCAACAGAATGTAAGTGTCGAAAGCTGGGATTTATTAAGAATATTTTGAATTTTCTTAATTGATTCATTTGAATCTTTAGAAGATTTTTGATTTTAAATTCAACTTTTACATTATTTGTTTGGTGTTTTGGGATTTTCTTTAGTGTGAGAAATGGGTATGGTTTTCTTTGTGTTTGTTTTATAAATGGTTATGTATGTCTTTGTCAATATGATTCAATAATCTGCAAAAGGCAAAAGCCCATTTAAAGTAGATATACCCAACAAATTGATTTGAAAGAAGGGTTGTAGAAATATAACATGGTTTGTTGGGTACTAGTAAAAGCATTTATGATAGATTGGTAGTTTTTTATTTACTTAGACATGTATGTTTGTATGAACAAATGTATTGTTTACAACTACCAGTTGCTGTATATATGCAGAAAAATATAAACAGAAATCAAAAAAATAAAATTAAAAAGTAGCTAGTTCAGATTTCCCATTCTCTTAAAAACATCATATGCAATATATGACTCAGAAAATATGTTTTTATAATATAGAATATTGGCCATTTTAAGTAATGGTATCTAGCAATTTTATCTGACACTTAGTAGTTATTCAAAGAGATTTGCTATCTCTTGATATTGCCGTTTCAGCTAAATCTTTTCTCTTGTGTCATGATTTTAATCTAAGTCTGTTTATTCCATTCTAGTGTGGATGTCAAACAGATTGAGGTCGGGAACTGCTGATGTAGTGATCAAAACAGTTTTGATGTTCCGAGACACTATCCCACCTGCCTCCTGCCTGAGAGTCCTTTCTCTCCTCCTTATAACAGAGAACTCAGATATACGCAAGGCAGTCAGTAAGTATATTATACATTTCTTTTTATGACGTAAAAGATGCTCATTAAATTAGGTGCAGAGCTGTCGTGGAATAGAATTATTATCTGATCCCATCTTTTTAAACAGACTTTCGCAACTGCCTCCTCGTGTTCCAATATTTTTGGATCATCATTTTCCATAGCAAACACTTTCCAACTTGTAATATGGAATAGACGAAGTAAATAAGTCATGCAAATATTCCAAACTTCTGAATTCAAAAGGAAGGTTCCAAAATCTGTTGTGTGTCATGAATAGATATACTTTATACTGGACAGAGATGTTAAGATATATATATTTCTGTTAAGATTTATGTACAGTATATGTACAAAAAATACAAACTGCCTAAAAATGTCATGAAACTATTCATTCCAGCACACTATCTAAAGGGTCTAGTCAACAATGAAGACCACAGAGATAAGGCTATGGTTGTCTATGTGGAAGCCTTAGAAGACCGTAATGCTGATGTACGTTGTGCAGCATGTATGGCATTGTCCCTGCTGCAGGCCACTGAGAGTATAGATCAGCTAGTCTACATATGCCAGACTGATAGCTCCCTTATGGTGAAATCCAAGGCAAAGGAAACACTGTATTCATATGGTGGGTGTGATTTGTAGTGTTGGTTCTTATTTGGTTAATGTTGCTGTTTAATTTATCCCATTAAAAGATACTAAAATTAAAAGACATTACAATACAATTGCCAAGTTTTTCACATTTTGATGAAGTTGTGGAATTGATCCATATTAATCAATCTTTACTTGTTCTTCAAAAAACAAACTTTAAAGTTTTTTCTCCACTTTTTTGTTATTGTGGTGACATATTGTTATAGTTTTCAACTTTTCGTGGCAGGCGGTGTTCAGTGTCTGTAACAAATGGCAGGTTGTGACATTTTGCATATTAATGCCTTGTTTTTGGCTCACACAGTGAGCCTATGGGATCGACAAGGCATCCATCCGTCCGTTGGTCCGTCCTTGTTACTTACATTTGACATCAGAGTTGGCATTCAAAAGTAACAAATTGTTACAGTTTTGTAATTGCAACCAGGTGTGACAATTGTTACTCTTATTCATTTAAATATTCTTCTTCTAGGTGCCCAAGGGAGAAAGGCGTATGATGAGTCTCAACTATCAACACATGGCTTCCAAGGGGTCCGATTACACCAAGCTGATACAAAGTTGTAATCTTCCAAATGGTCTGTTTCCATTAAAGATTTACAAAGTTACAAACCGTCTAAATGGTTTGACGACAATTCTTTATGAAAATTGTCTTCTTCTAAAGGATGTACACTCAATAGAAAAGTATAACCATTTCAGTAGCTTGAAATGTACCTCATTTGATGAATGAATGAAGAAAGGACATGAATGGATTATTCAGTATATGAATAAGATATTAAAATTCATTGCTGGAATAAGTTTGGCAGTTGAAATACAAAGTGGATATAATATGAAAATTTGGATGGAAATACTGTGATTTTTCATTTAGAAAACTCCATTTACTTGAAGCTGCTATATGGATGTATGTGTTATAAGTTCTGTGATACGTTCACAGAGTGATGCTATTTCAACACAAAAGCAGCCAAACAAAAAGGAATATATGTCATCTGATTCATTAAAAGATGGCATAGTAGGAATTGAATAAACACTCATGTTGTCCACTCTGGATCCAAAAACTGCGTAGACATCTTAAATTAACCCATTCAATAATTATTACCAGTAGAAATGGTCAAATGTCAAACCTGCTCAACTTATTTTCACCCTCAACTTATATGCAACTTATAATTTGAGGGTGAAAATAAGTTGAGCAGGTTTGACATTTGACCATTTCTCCTGGTAATAATTAGTAATTACACATATCTGAAATATAATGGCAGAAAGCACCATGTTTAAGAACTATTCATATCAGGAAGTAGGATCAGTTTAAGGACGTCATTGCTTTTTTCAAAAATAACAATTTATATAAGATAATATGACACATTATTTAATGTGTTTGTTGGGATGTGGATTTTGCCCATCATTTTTGTACATAGACTACATTGGTAGCCTATCTTATAATTTCACGAGGTTTTTTCTTAATTGCATTTCATGGATGAGATTTTGCACTTTGTAACTGTTGTAAATAACTGTATATTTTGTACATATGCGTATGTATATATTTCTGGTGTTATTGCATAAGGTGTTGAGAGGTGTTAAAATTTCAAAATTGGTTATTTCTTCCTTCATGTTAGTATTTGACTGAATGATTTGACATTCATTAATTAATTGATTAACTGAATTGATTATTTCTTTTCTCAATGTTTCTCAGTCCTTGAATATGTATAACAATTACATAGCAAAATGGGTGAAATCTAGTCAAGTTCAGATAATTTTGAACACATCCTGTAATATATGTTCTCAGTTTTTTCTGGTGTTTCATTTTGTTTGTTTCTAGTTGAAGATGGGTCGAGGATTAAGACCTAGCTGGTCAGACCATTAGCTCTTTGGGGATCTCAACTCTATCACAAATTGTCTATTACTAAGGGACTCTGTATTTCCTATGAAATAATTGTCTAATCAATATTGAACTGGAATACATTAACTTCCAAACAGCAAACCCCTAAAGTGAAATACTTTCAAAGTAGGTATAAAAGTGTTCCACTTACACAAGTTTTACTGTTATCACATTTCTTCTATTTCTTATTCAACCCCAGAAAAAGGTGTAATTCCCTGAAGCTCTAATGGTGTGATGCGCCTTTATGTGATTCAAATCAATAAGACATATTCAAAGAAGTTGAGTGAAGTTGACTTCTGGCGAAAAATAGCTACCTTAATACAAAGCCTGTTTTCTCTTGTGTTTCCATTGAAACACTATAGACATGGTGCTAAATGTATCCACCTGTTTTTTTTTATGAAAATTGTATTGTTTTCAGACTGTCAAGTCTATTAGCACACAATCAGCATTTAAAAAAGTAGTTCCAATTAATTTAGAATGTGCAATTTTAGTTACAGATGATCGGCAAAATTTAGCCATTTTTGTTTTATTATTACATTAATATTGTTGAAGCCATTAGGTACATCTATTACAGCAACTATTTATTTGTGCAATTAATTTTTGTTATCTTTCGATTAGTTGGTGCTGATTCTTTAAGTTTTAGTTTTCTTGCCAGAAATTGTTGGAATAATTTGTATTATAGTTTAAGAACATGGCCATTTTTGGAGCATGATATATGTTTAACATTGTTTATAGTTTATATGATTGTCCTTCCCCCAAGTGGAAGAATGTAATAATTTGGGTACACTGTGCTTAACGTATGCACTGGTTTACTACTTTAGTCATTATGAGTAAAACTTCTGCAAAAGTTTGTGAGAAACTGCCTAAAGAAAAATATGGCAGACCAGTCCACATCTAAACTCCAAACAGGTTTACTGTATAGTAGAAGTAACTATAGTATTGCCAATCTCCCTGAAGGTTGTATTGCCAACCTACCTGGAGGTCGTCTTTATAGTAATGTAACCCTCCCCATTAGTCAGGTGTTAAGTATTGTTTCTTGATGCACATCCATTTAAAGTGTTATTTTCCCGAAGTCTGCATGGACTTTTGCTACGCATGCATAAGGATGTGTGACTGCCATGCTAATGTACCATATGTATAGACTTGCTTGATAAGGGACTTGTGTTTATTATAACATTACATATGTAAAAATAATTTTTGTTTATGAACCTGATTTTTATGTTACACATAAGAGGCTTTAAGTATGTATGGCCAAGAGGTCTGCCATGTTGTAGAAATAAGACCCTTTAACATGATCAGGGGAGTAGAGTTATTAGATGTCTATATAGACATGAAGAGACATGTTATATTTATTTTTGTACCAAGATCAGTATTATAATCTTCAGTTGTCTCATAGTGAAGGCGTTCAAAAAGTTCATGGAAAATTACTCCATTTATGTAATTTTGAATGTTTTCATTGATATTTTCACAGAATATGTAGTAATTGAGCTTCTGTGAACTTATCAAACAACTTTTCAATTTGCAATTACTATACTGTAACAGTTCACTGTTTTATTTTTGGTTTGTTTTGGAACTCATTATTTTCCAAGAGTTTCATAGAAGAGTTTGAATGCTCCTTTAAACAATTTAACAACACTGTACTGAACATCAAGGAAGTAAGCATCAAATAAAAACTTTTATACAGTGCCAATTAAAATGTGTTGTTTTGTAAGGCTTACGTGAAGAGGAGGTTTTTCTGAATTTTCACCATCCATCAGTGAGGCTTCACTTCTATAAATAGTTCCGTTTAATCAAATACTATCTGTCATTGATAATTTGAATTGACAACCACATCCATGATTTATACTCTGATTTAATCGTCATTGGCCAACCAATTTGTGGATCTTCAGTTTTAACCATCATTATAAGATACACCTCAATTCTTTTTGTTCATTTCTTGGTTGGGAACTGAATTTTCTCTGAAAGGAAAACAGTTAACATTTTGTGAAATATTTTATGTAATATTTAGATTTTTGTCAACAGCTGTGGATGTTGATTTCAAGAGACCACTCGTACATAACAATATTTTAAAGGATTTTAAAATAGTTTAAAGGATGTATGAAGGCTGAAATGGTCTGTTTGATATAATTTGAAGAGTGCATATACTGTAGAAGTTGATAGCGTCTAGACACTACTTTGTAAACATTGTCCAGATCTCCAGTGAAAAAATAAAATGGAATGAGTCGGGGCGTTCTAACATCGCTGTTTCACACTAATTGCAATGGTCGTTAATCTGCCCTTGCTCTTAATTAATCTGCTAGCTATTACAGTAAAACAGTTTACTCATACATCCGAACAACTCCCTGATCTTGCGACATCTCCCAATGTGAACACTTTCTATGTTATTGATTCACAATCGACGATTTCGGACCCGCGGGGTCAGAAGAGCAGGGTAGTTGATTCATTTAGAGGCAGAGTCAGAGATTAAAGCATGGGTGAGTGTTGATGTTCACGTGATGATGAAATAGAAAAACCTTTTACACCGATTTCACCACATGACCTTTAAAACTTGAATAAGTTAATTATTATTTGCATGGTCATTGACAACATTGTTTTCTCGATAATCTGTTGTAACAGAACGTAATTACCCTGGATTTCTATAGGTCAACCATATTACACTCTGACTTTTACTACAATACGGTTGACAGTTTCATAACCATACTATCACACCAAACTAGTTCTCACTACGTTCTCGAAAACGGGCTTCAACTGTGTACGAACGGACTTGACCTACTAAGAACCGTTTGGGATCTATTTACAAACTTCATCGAACGTACTCGAACGGGTAGGTCCTCTAGAACTTCGACAATGCTCAAAATGTTCTCGTGGTCGTCACGTTCTACAATTAGAACGAGTGACAACGTACTAACGACGAGCTGGACGTACTACGAACGGAACCGTCGTACTTCAATCCTACTAGGGACGTTTTTACAACGAGTTGAACTGTCTGAGGACGTGTTGAGAACGAGGTAGAACTAATTGCAAACGGGTTTAAACTGATTAAGAACGTATTTAACACTGCTTATTAACGAGTTAGCAAAAATATAGCTATCGCACCAAACAAGTTGCCACTGCGTTCTTCAAAACTGGTTTTAAACTGTGTGCGAACGGAATGAACGTAGCTGCAACTTTCTAAGGTCTATTTACGAACTTTATGAACGTTCTCAGACGGGAATGTGATTTTAGAATTTTGAATCAATTCAAAATTCGATGGCGACCATACCGTTCTGTAATCAGGTCATGTTGACCTTCTAGACTAAGGGACGCGTTCTACGACGTTGTACACCGACGTGGTGCGACCTGAACGAACTGCGAACGAGATGGACCTATTGAAGACTGTTTAAGAACGAAGAGGCTAATTATTTCAGACATATTTCCCGACCACAGCCAGATTGAGCCCGTTTTACGACGTTTTCGTAGGACTGCAAGAACGGATAAGAACTAGTTTGGTGTGATAGGGGGGTTAGCTATAATATACAACTTTTATTATCGGAGTTTTCTGCTTTCCGCGAAAAGAAATAAACCCTTGGACAACGAAATGTACTTTTATGTGTATTTTATGTATATAACAGAGTATTTAAGAGTGTTGGTCTAATCAATCTCTTTTAGAGGGTTAACATGTTTTATATAGTTTCGACGAGTTCCCAAAAAGCTAAGGCAAATGGACCGGATTACAAGTTCCCTGAGGACCAAAGCATAATTGTGATTATATCATGAACTGAGGCCCTCTTAAAGAAGCAATCAAACTATTGAATAGGACGTGAACTTTAAAACATACAGTGGAATTTTATGACTTAAATGTTAATTGAAACTGGAGACAATAACAATTTTGATGAACATGGGGCTTTCGGATCTTCTTGTTCAGTTTCCTTGGCTTACACAATAGACATTTAAAATCTCAGTTGTAAATAGATCTAGACTATTTTTGTTATAATAGGGGCGACATAATGACACGACGAATCATACACTTAGGGCTCTTCTTAGGAATTCTAATTCTCATTTTGTCCATACATTACACACGTATTGATTCGGAAGACAAATTGACTTGGCAAACAAATTGGAGAGTTGGCCCACTTGGTGCGTTTAACAGACCAGAAAATCACTCAAATAAAACGGAAACATATGAAAATATGGTTGGACAGAATCATACAGAAAAGCATAATGAAATGGAAAGAGAGGAAGGACAAAATGCTGAAATTAAAAAATATGACATAATTCAGAAAGATAGAATTGAAAACAATGAATCCTACAAGGGCCTTACAAACATATTTCCCGAAAACAAAAATAATTCCACGAGCAAAGCTTTAGTTCCAAACCTTGTCCATTATGTCTGGCTTGATATGAAAGGAAAACTGAATTTTGAATTCTTGCATACAGTGAGTATGATAAGCGTACATAAACGATGGAAACCAGATAAGATCTTTCTCCATGTGTATCAGAAAAATTATCCGCATGGGAAATGGTGGGATTACGTCAAGAATAATGTGTCGGGAATCAAAATTGTTGAGCATGAGTTCGATGAGCTAACTATTTATGGAGAAGTGCCCAAATATGTGGAGCATATGGCAGATTTTCTAAGAATAAAGATCCTTAGAGGTACACTCCCCTCCAAATATTTGGCAACCGGTAGCCTATCTCACATGTTAAATCCTGTTTGTGCTTGCCTACAAATTCATTAAAATTTCCGATTTGAGGGTTTCCGATTTGAGGACCAAAATTTAGATTGATACAGTAACATGTCTTAACAAGTGGTAAAACTATTACGGGCTTCTAGTTGCTAAAATTATCGTGAGGTTGTTTATAATTGCTAAAATCTAGTTCTGACAGCAGGCCTGTCAACTGTCCCGCAATTTGCGTATTTGTCACGCATTTGCTGAAGAATTTGAAGTCACGCCAGTTATTTTTGCGTGACAGAAAATGTCACGCAAATACGCATTTTATCTGGTAATTGTCAAGCAAAAATATTTCTGAGAAAATTTTCTAAAAAAGATCGTCTACACAGCAAAAATAGGAACGACGGGAAAAAACGTACGCATTTCGTTCGGACTTTTCACGCGAATTACGGATATGTCACGCATTCCGTTCGAAATTTTTTGTACCTACCCCCGTTGATGGATGTTTGAAACGCGAGCGTAGCAAGCGCGAAAAATTTGAGGTGTTCAAAATTTGGCAAGATGTAATAAAATTTAAACCAAGGTATTCAAAATTTGGATCAAGGAGTTCAGATTTGGACCAAGGTGTCCACATTTTGAGGGGAGGTGTTCAACATTTCCAAGTCACTCATGTTAGGTGTTCCCAAGTTGACAGGCCTGTGACAGTTATTCCAATCTTAAGGTCAGGCTATATGTTCGGAATTTTGATGCAATCCTCAACAGAGTCACATGTTATTTTTCAAATATTAATCACTCCTTCCTCACATTATCTTTCTGTTTTGCACAACTAGTGCACTAATGTACCTTGAAAAGAGTGCAAAGAATAATTTTTTCATAAAATGTATAAAAAATGAGAAAATTCAGTGAGGATTGCATCAAAATTCCGAACATGCAGGACAACCTTAATCACGTTCAGTTATCATAATGAAATGCAATAATGACATGACATACATTTATCTCTTTATCTTTAAAAACTAGCCGTTGTCGAGGACCGTCGTACTGTTATATTTTGGCAAGAATCAGCCTCTGAATATTCCAAAAGCAAAAAATTGGTTTCAGAATATGGTGGGATTTATATAGACACAGATGTCATAGCATTACGCTCGTTGGAACCTTTACGGCATTATGATCATACGCAAGGTGTTGGTCTTGTTGGCACAGGTAAGTACCTTGTATTAAGTAAAGCAATCAGATCTTGACACGTGTATGCTCTTGCAACCGTAAACATTTTAAGTTGAACAGACACAGATAAGCGGTTTTCCTGAAATGATGACACGAAACTATTTTTCTTATTTTCACAACCGTTATTTTACACATTCTCTAATTTTCATCGATTTTGCGAACAATAGCCTATTTCTACCAAATGTTACTGTTCAGTTAAAAATTGCATCACTGTCATGAGACTCATAATTGCATATTATATTATATTGTTTTCATTCAGTTTTTGAACCATGCCTGATCAATATACATGTGATCATGAATGCTTATAAAACAAATTTAATTATCCCATCGAACGAAGTTCGGAGGGATATAGGGAACGCCTCCGTCCGTCCGTCTGTCCGTCCGTCCGGGCAATAACTCAAATACCGTTGGCCCGATTTTGTTCATATTTTGTACACATATACCCAATGGGGATAGGAGTTCTGCTCGAAAACTGATTTTCAAAATGGCCGCTCATTTACAAATGGCGGCCATTTTAGTGCCGATTTTACAGTAATTTAGGTACTGCATATAAAACTGTAATAGCAATATGTTTTCAATGTAAAAAAGTTATATAGGACATTGATTAAGCTAGAAATGTAAATACAGAAGAAATTTATGGCAGCCATCTTGAAAAATGGCTGCCTTTGCACGTCATTTTACGATTTTTGCTGTAACTTGAAAAGTATTGTAGCGATTTTGTTCATATTTGGTATGTGAATACTTTAAGCATGGCCCAATGTCTAATGACATTTTGGGTAGTAGGTGGCCATTTTGAAAAATGGCAGCCATTTTTACTTGTGTTGTTTTACATTTTTTACTATAACTCAAAAAGTAGTAGAGCGATTTTGTTCATATTTTATATGTGAATACTATAAGCATGGCACACTGTCTAATGATACTTTGGGTAGTAGGCCGCCATTTTGAAAAATGGCCATATTTTGTTCATATTTGGTATGTGAATACTTATGAACCTTGCACACTGTCTCATGACACTTCACATAGTAGGTTGTCATTTTTTAAAAATTGCTGTCATTTTTACATTTTTTACTATAACTCGAAAAGTATTGGAGCGATTTTGTTCATATTTGATATGTGAATACTCGTAAGGATTGCATACTGTCTTATGACATTTTGGGTGGTAGGTGGCCATTTTAAAAAATGGCCAGCATTTACATGTATGTGTGTGCGATTTAAAAATGTTTTTACATGTGGCTACTTAATAGCATATTACTTCTGATGACAACTTGGCTAGTGAGCAACCATTTTGAAAATGGTGGCCTTTCTTATGGATGTTATTTTACGATATTTGCTATATATTTTGTTTGTAAAAATGCCAGCCATTTCTGTTCGATGGGATTCGCTACGCTTTGGCGTTGCCGTTGTTCTGGTTTCTTCTTCAGTCTGTCCAAATATGGCTCAATAGACCCACCCTTGATTGGATTATTCGCGTAATCAACATTATTGGCATCTGGATTCCCAGTAAGCAATTTGTCTGGGCTAGAGATGGTTGTTATGCGGTAAACACGATACAAAAATATGTCATATTCCGCAACGAATATGGCATATTCACTTGCGGTGTATGACAGATTCACCTGCGGTATATGGCATACATACTAACCAATGAGAACGTGATACGGAAGTACGCAATTGTCAATTGCATAGATTGAACGAACAAGTAAAACGTTATAAATTATTATAATGATTACTGAATCAACAGTACTCTGTGTATTGAATACATTAACTTAGCAGAAGGAGCAGTCACAAATCTCGGTTAATAAATCCAGAATTCATATATTAGTACTCGACGCACTAACTATATTGGTAATCCAGCGTAGTTTTACATTTAGAGTCGATTCTCGCAACCAATCAAATCAAGGCTTTCTGTATCACGTTTTCACCTGCGGTATATGCCATATTCACCTGCGGTATATGACATATTCCGCAGGTGAGTATCGGGTATTCACTGAAATCAATGTATCGCATATTCACTGCAGAATATCGCATACTCACCTGCGGAATATGCCATATACCGCAGGTGAGTATGGCATATTCACACGTATCACAAATACCGCGCAACCATGAATGTATGCCATATACCGCGTAACAATGGTGACATTTCGAATCTCCAAAAACTCCAGGGTAGCATTGGACCTGTGTGATGGAGCTGTCATATCAGAAAATTTCTTTCACATGTTTTTTTTAGATCCTTGATGAGTCCTTTTTTAACACCTCATTTCGGTTGTATTCAGAGTATATGTTTGCTCCTGGTTCAACAAAAACAGGGCCGGTCTTTCCTTTTTTGGAAACACCGAGTGACACCACTACCTTTTCAGAAAAATGTCATCTCGATTTGAGTAGCCTTTTATCGCAAATGTCAACCTTCTCGCTTACTGATATATAGTCTATCCTGTTGATTACATGTATACTTGGGGGCATTTAGAACAGTCGGTCTATGAAGATCCCTAGCCTATCAGGGATGTAAACAAACTGAAAGAACGAATGCTTAAGAGTTGGATGGTACTTCCGCAGAGATCCATCAATTATGCCAATGTCTTAAGCACTGTTCCACATGTCAACTAGTTACTTTGACGGAACGTCAATGTAACAAAATGGATGAACTTCTTGGATACTTGTTTTTTGTTTTCTTGATTTTAACCTACTTATAAGTCGAGTTTTAGAAATGCTCTCGGTTCGGAATTTGATTTTTAAATAGAGCTGTAATTTATGCATCTAGACCATCGCTTTTGTTACAATGACGTAAGTCGTCAAAGTAACATACATTGGTAATATAATGGATTTTCGTCAATGAAACAAAAGCAAGGGACTAAATATATGAATTGCAACTTCATTAACGAAACAAATTTTAAATCGAAGAAACTTATAAAAGCAATACTATATTTTCTAGCTTTGTGCCAAATTATATTTTGCAACTTGACTTATAAGTTGGTTTAAACCGGGAAAACAAAAAACTCGAAACCAGGAAGTTCATGCATTTTGTTACATTGACGTTCCGTCAAAGTAAGTAGTTATGGAACAGTGTTAAGAAAATAATCCGATCAGACGGTGGGGCTATTTTTGGCCCACCCTGTACTTCAGAAATATCTCAAAATTAATGCAAATTACTTTTAAACAATAATATTTGAAAACCTTAAAATTTTCCCGAAAAAATCCCACCATTTTTAATGCGGCGGCCATCTTGGATTTTTTTGTTGCGTACAACTATTCACCAATATACTTCTTTCCACCAAATATAAAGATAATCCGTCCACTAATATTTGAGTTATCTTCCGGACGGACGGACAGACGAACGAACGGACAGACTGACGGGCGGAGGTCTTCACTACATCCCTGCTGAACTTTGCTCGTTGAGATAATTAACAGATCAGAAAGTATTATTTTTAGATGATCATATTTGCAAGGTGCTCATGGGCGAAGCCATCGTCGTACCTGAACAAATATATGAGGCCAAAGAACAATAGTCATTAGTGCTGTCTGTTACATACAGACAGAGTTACTTTGAACGCAATTATAAACGAGTGTGTGATCGCGAATCTTCTCGGGATTTGTTAATTGTTAAATGCATTTATTTTAGCTTTATCAAATGGTGTGATAATCGCAAAGAAAACGTCCATACTTCTTGAATTGTGGTTGGAGGCGTACAGAACATACAACAAAATAGACATAGGGAAAGAAACTTCCTTTTGGCAGTACTATTCTATTAACGTACCGAGGACTCTCGCCGACATATATCCCCGTTTGATTCACATTGAGAAAGATACGTTAGTAAGACCAAAGATTAAATCATACTCTCTAGAGCCAACGAAAAAATATGTTTGGGAGAACAACTATTCGGTTCACGTTTGGCATAGGGCTTTACCAGTGCCGAAGAGCCCTGGTGAGATTAAAGATTTACAAGACGAATATCTCCTTAAAGAGGTTATTGAATACATTTGGTATGATAAACCACCGCCTATCAGATGAAGTGATAGTATGAGAATTATTTTACAATTTCGTGTATGTAATATAGACGTACCGTTATTTGTATTTAGTATTGGGTTTGCTGCGAATACAATTTATTTTACACGAATACTAGGCTATTTTTCAGTTTTACACGAATAATACGATTCACAATAATATGTAACACTTAAACTTGGACACAAACAAATTTTAAATAAAAAAACTTCATATTCTGCATGATATTTCAAATTTTATGATAACAGACAGTCGAAGTACACGTTGAAGTCTTTTGATAGTGTAAGTTACATCATTAGTTATTAATTAAATATTCTACAGTCAACTGTGACCAAATAAGGACATTTTATGTGATTTTTACGCAAATCAATGGAAAATTAAAGAAGTTATCTCCGTAGTATTTCATAATTGAAACAGCTTTTAATTTGGATTTGGATATATCGCATGATTACTTTGTTCACATCTCAAAATGATGATTTAAGTGATATAATTTGCACCTGTATCCCACCAAAGGTTAAATTAATTAAAGCCTCTTATTTATGTTCATCTGGTAAATATCAAGGTTTCGTAGTCCAGTCCAACAGAATTTATTCTCAAAGAAATGTAAAACCGAAGGTTTTGATTCTGATCTAATCTGACCAGGCCGATCGCCAAAATAGGAATACAGCTTTATCACTGAATAACTTAATCAGCGAATCACTCTAGGAATAGTTGCATAATAATATGTAGAAGACCTTTATAAATATCATATTCGATTATTAATTCTTCATAATTGACAAGGAGTATGAGAGTACCATTTAGATTAAGGTAAGACGAGTAAAATGATTTTCAGAAATGTTATGCACAGTATCAAGTTAATAAGCCACATTACTGAGTACATTCTACCCACCTTAATGTGAACTTTGACCTTACTATGACCTATGTGCCCTGTCTAAATGTCAGTAACAAAGGCTTATAAGGCTATACTGACACAGAAAACATTACTTTTAGTTAAATGTAAAAATAACCTTGTTATTTTGATAACGTAACAATGAGACAACAAACTAACTATTTTAAAATATATTTTGGAATTATTTTTGTCATCATTTGGTTCATCATCTATAATACAAATTATAATACTTTCATGATTGGCCAAAACATATGAGAACAATTAGCCTCTTTGGAATGTCCAATGGGTCATTGAATCATAGAAATGAAAAGGACATGTATGAAATGGAAAACCATGATGGAATGGAAAAAGATGAAGTTATGGAAGAAATGGAAAAAATGGCTAGAATGGAAGAAAATGAAGAAACTCAAAATTTTGCTGGAATTGAAGAAGATGTTAAAATTGAGAAAGATGACGTCATGCAAAAGGATTATGAATCTGAGATTGATCCGCTTCAAAATATATTTGCTGAAAACCTAACAACCGAAGAATTAGTCCCAAACCTTGTCCATTATGTCTGGCTTGATATGAAGAAAGAACTGGAATTTAAATTCATGCACACAGTGAGTATGATAAGCGTACATAAGCGATGGAAACCAGATAAGATCTTTCTCCATGTGTATCAGAAAAATTATCCGCATGGAAAATGGTGGGATTACGTCAAGAATAATGTGTCGGAAATCAAAGTTGTTGAGCATGAGTTCGATGAGTTAACAATTTACGGAGAAGTGCCCAAATACGTGGAGCACATGTCAGATATACTAAGGATAAATGTGCTCAGAGGTAAATCCTAGATTTTGCTGACATCATCAAAATCCAACATTTTCAGAAGTTTCAGCTCTTGGAATAATGGCACCAATTAAAATGATTTTATTAATAAAATCCCCATTTGTTTCCCCTTTCCACCTCTTTTGCTTCTAAAAACACAATTCAAAGAATTAGAAGATTGTCTAAAATCTATGTCTCTCAGGGTTCTCTCATTGCTATCATACATGTACTCGCGATCGTATGTTTACTTGAATCAATATTAACCTGATTTCAGAATATGGTGGGACTTATTTAGACACAGATGTCATAGCGTTGCGTTCGTTGGACCCTCTCCGTCATTATGATCATACGCAAGGTGTTGGAATCCTGAATTCAGGTAATGCCAAATGCATTCAAATAGTTTCACTTTTTCAGTATGATTGAAAAGGTAAATTGATAAGATGCTAGAATTTAGCAAACCCATGTCTAGGGAAAACGATATGTAATGGTAATGTCAGCATTTCTGTTTTCTAATTAAGATATATTATTTGAGAGATTTTTTCCTAAATGACATTACAACGTTGGTCACATGTCCACAGATGTTTCTAGGCATTTGTAACCTTTGACCGAACATCCCTTTTCTCTATTTGTCCTGTATATTCAGGTTTTGCTCTGGGATCTGTATTCTAGGTCTATCAAATGGTGTGATAATCGCAAAGAAAACATCCATACTTCTCCAGTTGTGGCACGAAGCGTATAGGACCTACAATAAAATAAAACTGGGAGACGGAAATAGCCTTTGGCGCTACTACTCCATCCAGGTGCCAAGGATGCTCGTCGATATTTATCCCCATTTGATACATATGGAGAAAGATACGCTAATAAGACCAACGTACAAATTTTACACTCGAGAGAGAGTTAAACAATTTGTATGGGAGAATAATTATTCTATACATGTTTGGTATAGAGTAATGAAAGTACCAAATAGCCCGGGTGAGATAAATGACTTAGCAGATGATAGTCTCCTAAAAGAGGTTCTGGAATACATTTGGTATGACGAACCACCGCCTTTTAGATGAAACATTACGTTTAACTTCAACGTTGGATATGAGTCACAGATTTTTTAATATACTCGTAATTCACTAATTCATAATAATACATGAGCAATGATCAACAATCATAAATAAATTGCTTATTCACGTACTCGTACTGCTGTGCGATGGAACTCTTCTAAAACGGATCCATTTCGGTAACAAAATCTCGCAGCCTAGGATGTGTTATGGAGCGATGTTTCCTTCTCTCATCTGGTTTTGTAACTTGAGATACCACGTGGCGAGCGCGCCAGATGTCAAGCGCAAGCCATGTGGCATTTTAGTTTCGAAATTCAATATACCCGGCAGCTCCACCATGTGATATTCTGTGATATACTATTGTTTTACATTTTAACAAACGAGTAATTTTGAATCTAGAATATTCTATTGATTTTTTCTTTTAGTCTTTGCTTCCATTACCTTCTATGTTGAATTTCGAATCTAAACTAAAATGCCCCATGGCTTGCGCTTGACATCAGGCGCGCGTCGCCACGTAGTATCTCAAGTTACATCATTTTCCATGATTTCACGAGATGTAGGCAGAGTCTTCACGACCTTCTTGACAAGAACGTGAGTCATTCTTAAAATCACAACCAAATGAATTGATCACCCTCATCATTTTCATAATTTTAAGTTGGCAGAAGTAGTGGGTGACTAATTTAGGAAAACATCTACATCAATATTCTGTAAAAGGCTAATAAACATAAACATAGAGTTTGAATAGAATATAATTTAAGTCTTGGCATTTAAAAAATCGATCTATGGTTTGGTTACTAGGTTACAACTCATTTCAACATTGAAATAAACTCCCTGGGCTAGCTATGTCACTGTGGTCCAAAATATAGGGATCCTTAATAAAAGAAAACCTCGGTTGAACTAAATCCCTTACACATTGTCTTCTGTGTTCGTGATAATAATGAGGAAGATGATTTTTTGTTTAAAAATCGATGTGCCCTAATTATAACAAAAATATCAATGTTAATGAATATTACAAATGATTTCTTTGATTTGTTGAGTTTTCGAATGTATTAACATTTGAACACTCATTGCATCAATAGATGTCAGTGTTGGACAGTATTCAAGGAATATGTTCTTTTCCAACGAGAACGGTTGAAATGAGAGTGTTTGGGAACGTAATGCAAAGCCGGAGAGCGAAATGTGAGTGTCGGTGAATGCATCTAGCGAGTGTAAGGATTGTAATAAGGTGATAGAGTTTGAATATAATATAATATAAGAAAAAATTGAAGTCAGTCAAAACAGTATTTGAGAGGTTGAGCTACACGTATAAATGCAAACCGTGAACCTGAACGCGTAAGTCCACGCTCAAGTACACGTTTAAGAAAATTTTCTGTTAAGCTACACGTCTGAAACCATGTCAGTGGACGTGGAGCTCTATTTATGTGGTGACTGTGTCTAAAGGTCATGTCTCTATGGTGTAATGGATAGCACTACCAACTCGTGTCCATTAGGCCTGGGTTCGTATCTACAATAGTCGCATCAAAACATTTTGTTTTTTTTTATTTTTGCTGTATTTAATATTCAATGCACCCTTCATTACGATCTTTCCATGATCAAAAATGAATTCATCTAATTTTAAAAAATGAATATACTGTTTTTATTATTACATTTTTATGTACACTAGTACCGTGTTGACCTATATTCAGCACTGCATTGATGAATGGGCCACTTATTAGGGCCAATATTCAATCATAAAGTGTACAGGGGTAGAGATACCAAACCAGGAAGTCTTTTTGTGTCTGTCAAAATCCATTTGCATCCTACACATCCCTACATCTTATCCAAATATGTTATTAATAAATGAAACATTATAATCTTAGGAATTAAAAAGTTGCATGGCATTTCAAAAGTGTAAAAGTTGCTTTTGAAGCATTTTCTATAGCCATTTTCAAATCGAATGTAGTAATAAGGCAATCGTAGGCCCTGGTTGTCATTTCATTTCGTTTAGTATACATATTGTACTAAGCCCCGGGTATCAAATTGGCCCTGCCTGTTGATATTGTACGGAATGAACAAACGATCACATTTGAAGTTGTCATTTACCCATTAAAATGTATTCTTATTTCCAATTAAGGATTGGGGTTTACCAATATAACAAGCAAGATTGTCTGTATCAAATATAGGCTCCAGGGCCATCCTAGAACATAGCTAAAATCAATCACGTAATGAGCGACGTGTAATCCCTCATCTACACGTAAAAACCTGTAACTTTCACGCTTACCTGTAGAAAGTAGACTAAACTGACGTCATTTCCCTGCGCGCGCATAGAAGTACACGTTCATGCTTTGTTGAATACGCGTCTGTAATTGCACGAATATGATAATCTCATGTAAAAACCTGTAAACTTCACGCTGGCCCACAGGAAATAAACAAATCCGACGTCATTTATCTGCGCGCGCATTGAAGTTCACGTTCAAGTTTTGTTAAATACGTGTAGCTTAACCTCTGTACTATTAGTAACAGACGCCGACCGCCAACCACCAACCATCAACTGCCACCCACCGGACGCCAACCACCGTCACAAAAAACGGAGACCATAACAATATGTCCCAACTTTTTGTTGGTGACATAAAAATCATTTTCAAATGTAGAGGTTCCCCTAAATGATGGACATATTTTTGTGTTCATGTTCTTTAAAAACGAATGTTCCTTGCACAGCTACATGTAGTTAGGTATATAGGACACCATACCTGGGCTTCTTGCATGGACGTGTGTTTGAAAGCACTGTATAGTAAACGCCCATGAGTGTTAATCAGTGTTGCTAAACCTGGTGGGATTCTATTAGTTATTTCGATGGAAATTATCTATCAAGATACATGAATGAGAGAGTCATGTTTAACTTTAGATGCAGCAAGTGTCATATTCATAATATTACTTTTCATGTATTTTGAAATTGATGAGCAACAAAGCGAAACACAATATTTACATTAGCAAGACCGTTAACAAATCTGTGTACCACTACGCTAAAGTACACAAAGTGTTTCAATAGTCGGTGGCTTAAAAAGCAATTATTTACCCTAATCCTGAAGATAAAGTCAATCTGTTTTATGAATGAATTGAAAGGTCTGTTAGACTGATTTTCAAACAGACGGATTTGGCATTGAACTTCTGTTTGCAAAGTCAAGGAGAGTCAAACTTAAGACGCGACAGCAGAGGATCAAACAACGTTGAATACTGAGTATTTAAAGGGCATCGTTTTCAATAAACTTAATTGCGACCCAAACAAAAATTGTATTTGATTTGTGGTCGGTATTGCCACTTGTGGTGACATGGACTGAATTCGAATAGATTTCAAAATGTTTATTAACACGACATTTGAAACTTGGTTTAATACATTTGAGAATATCTTTCAAAATGAGTATAATAAAGTCGTTTATAATATTGTTGATATTTTATTAATAAATTCATATATTTAAAAGAACGTTTTTACACAATATGTACCGGCTTTACCATCCCTAATAAACTATGACGTCTCATAGACTGACTTTTTATTGAACAAACAACATAACTCTATAGCTTTTAAAACAAACTTTACAGCAAAATTGAATATCTTTTGAGACTCAATTAAAACATTCCTGTTTATTTAGAGCTGATACAACTCTACCTAACAACTCATTCAACGATATTCAATACGAAAATGCTGTTTAAAAACACGAATTGTAAATAAATTCAGACCCATTGAGACGTTTTGTGTGATTACAAAGCACAATGGGCAACGTTTGAAGACACAAATGTGACAGCTACATGTGATACACAATATACATGTATATATTGTAATTGAGTGGTTTAATATACAGAACTTACTCAAGAACTCACAGTTGTAAATGGCGTAGTCAGAGATAGAGAACAACAATTTTCTCCAAACTTTTTCAAAATGAGGATTGAAACAGGGTGATCAACATTTGTAAACGTTGTTGAAATTTGAGTACCGATCTCAAATATTGTTATATTTATACAAGTGGGCGGTGCTTTATCTAAACTGAGTGCTGATACTTCAAACAGAGTGACAGATCAACACTAAATGTTGCCTAATGAAGAACACTGCATGTGATATCTCAATCTCATACCATTCCTTGTCATACCTATTTTATAGAATACAAATTGTGTCACCCCTTATCTCTGATCTTACCCTCAAATAAACATTTAATTTAACTACTAATCTCATGGATTAATTCATCCGCTGTCACATTAGATAAGGAATTGGCATAAATACTGCAATTTTGGCAAATAACAATGTTCAAACATGTCAAAGCATTTCGTTGAATGTACACTGAACGAAACTAGGAAACTGTTTTTCCTTATAGGATCAGATGGCGTTCCTTTTTAAGAAATGGGTTTGTCTAATGTTTTTAAACGAGTGTTTCTAAAACAGTGTTCATTGGGGCAGGGCTGACATCCTCACTGTGCAGAGAACTGAGCCCTGTATCTGAATTAGAGTCACTGTCATCTCCTAGTGTATCGTAAGTAACTCCACCGAACGTCACGCGACGTTTCCTGGAGTTGTGAAGCGCCCCCGAAGACGAAGATTTGGCCCGTATGTATTGTTGGATATACGTGTCAGTAATAGTGAGCGTTTTTGATGAGTTTGGACTGCCCTGAATTGTAAATTGTTGTGAAATATCGTCCTTGATATTTTCGTGACACGTGGTAGAGTTCGCAGTTGGCTTGAAAGCCACGTCCATTGCACTATCATCGCGCACTTCATGGATATCCTGATCAATATGATCGATATAGTCACCTTTGTATTTAGGCTTAGAAAGGATGGATTTAGTGGGGTTGGTGTCTTCACGAGGTAGCGGACTTTGCTCGTCGTTACTCGAGCTATCAAAACTGTTAGAGTTACCATATCCTTCGTCGGATATGGAACTCCCGGGACTGGTGCTGCCACCTATGTGAGTCATATTTACGCAGTCCCCTAGAATAAGTAATTTACATTGCTCTTCAACCGAAAGTTTGTTTTCAGTACTATCACCCACTTTCTTCATATCGATTCTCGGTGGGCGTGGTGGCTTTTGATTATCCTCATAGGGAAAACCAGTGTCCTTTGAAGCATTATGTTTTGGCTTGAGTTTCGGCGGTTGTTCTCGTTCACGCTCTTCAGACAGAACAAGCGCATCTTCAAGTGTGGAAAGTTCAAGACGCTTCAGTTTTAACTGATCATCTATCGTAGTGATATCAGTCTCAAGCTGAGCATTCTGTTTACATTGACTATCATGGTGGAATATTGATTCATCCAGAGCACTTTGGACCTGCTCCAATGCATTGCTATTGTTAGCATTGACCCACATGGATGCATTGTCAATATCTTCAGTTGGTTCCTCGCATGCTGTAACATAAAGTTGTGAAACATCAACGGTATCGTTAACAACAGGAGAAGGAGCCTCTCTTTTCATTTTATATTTAAGTTTGAGTTGCTCCACCCTGAAAGTTTGGGATAACTCTTCGGTTTCAGCTTCAGTGTCAACAAGGCTCATGTCGAGGTATTTCTGTGAGGTCTCAGTTAAGCCCCTCAGTTTGATTTGGTGAGTATTGATTTGGTTATTGTTGCCCATTGGAGTTGAAAATCTAGGATATTTCACAGTTGTGGTGTCAAGCGCTGAAGTGATGTCTGAGATTTGAGAAAATTCTAAGATCTGATTAGACAGCTGGTCGATCTTTTTATTTTCCTCTGCAAGTTTTGTTTCCACCTGCACGAGATGTTGTAAAAGGTTCAGGTATTTTTCTAAATCATTAGCATCCATTTCATCCGAGCTGGACGTGTTATGTCCTTTCTCGTGTAGGTAGGCATCTTGTACGTAATTATGACCATTTTCAACGACTCTATGAGCATGTATTTTGGTTTCATAGTCATCGATACATTTATCAGTATGTTCAATACGTTCACATTGTTCTCTTAAGGTTTTCTCCTGAGATAAGACCAGCTTAACCAAGCCTTCTAGAGTCTTTGCTTTCACTGTTGTTTCAGCTTGTTTGTCTTTATCACTAGATGCAGATGATTCTGATGTTTTCCTATTATTACGTCTTTGTTGGCGAAGCTTGTGGTGAGCTTTGCGATACCTTCTTGATCGAAATATTTCCGAACTGTCCACATAGTCTTGATTCTTACGTAGGTAAAATTCAACAGTTTCGAGTTCGGATCCCCAGGATCGCCAAAGTTTAAGAATTTTTGTACGTCCTTTCAGTGGTTTCTCAACACCTCCCCAACGTTCATAAATTGTATAATTAGCAGTGTTTTTCTCTTCATCTGGGTTTCCTTCGTTATGAAGAAGGGCGTATATGATATCGTCACAGGTGGTACGTTTCGTAAGGCCTGTCACCCATTTCACTGTACATCCAACCCACACGGGTAGTTCCGTTATATCTGGTACTGACTTCTCCATCGCCTTTTCCATCGCCACACCTGTTGTTTTTGTTCTCTGCAAGTACACAGAATGATAATTAAGATATTGTTCTATTTGCGCGATTCAATATATCAGTGATATGTAATATTGTTTTTCATCATTAATTGAGTTGATAATTCTAAACATGAAACCATGCTGGATTCATTTTTGTTGCCAAATCAATTTATAGAAGTGTTTGTTTACAATTTATAAGTGTCGTTTCCTATGTTTGTTACGTAAAGGTTGGTAGGCGTTACGTCAAGGATGTTTGTTTTAAATAAACTTGTTTTGCCAAATTGTAATCTTTTCTTAAATCATAACGAGATTAGCTTTACCCAAGACTGGATTACCAAAATCCAATATATTATTAACAAGTTTCGCGAAGCAGAAAAATGTGGCAGAAAAACAAAAATATTTGACGTTTATGTGTTCTATTTATAATACACAATGTTTTATTTTGTTATAGTATTTTGTGTAATATATTGAATTTATTATCCCCTAGTTAAACACAACCTTTAACCATAAAGGATTTCCTCCTGGGGGTCTAAAAGAGAGGTGGTTATGACTTTTGATTTCAGCTCTTTACAAGTTAAAGGCTATTCTACAAGTTTTAACCCAACCGATGCCCAAAGTAGTATACACCTGTTAAAGCTCCTTTCATCAACAAACCATTAATTAAGAAATTGATGTTTAATATTGACTGATCTCTTTTAAATCCAAAAGATGAGACGTAACTTAACTATGTCGGTTCAGTTTCAGCCGAAACATTTCAATTTTCTGTGATTTTCAGGTACGTCGAAGAGAGGCTTAACTAACGGCGCTAAAACTAACAGTGGAGATCTGGGCTATGTGCCATACCTTGTAACTCTTTAGTTTCGAGAGTCCATGCCAAAATACCTGGATACATGTTACGTTAGGTAGAATTCAATATGCGCTTGAATTCCAACAACCAACTTCCAAATACGCAATCGCTTCACATGTATTCTTTTTAAAGTTCACATTCACTTTTCAGGTGCAAAATACATGCACAAAAACATATGCTAAAACTCATGTAAAAATAATCCTTCGCCGGCGCAATTATTGCGTAGTCTTACTTTAAATTCTTAACACATGCCATCAAGTACGTGCTTGTCAGCAGTTCAGTTGATAAATTTGCTCTATTAAATTGTTTCTCATTTTTATATTTTCTCCTACCTCAATTATTGAGGAGAGATGTGAATATACAGGATAAATAAAATGCAAACCTCAAGAAATGTCCATTTGATAATGTGTGTTATTACATATCCTTAACAGTGCTTAAAATGTTATTTATGCCTTACTAACCTTAACGTGCCATCGAAAAGCTCCTAATGTCGAGTTTATGTGCTCGAAAAAATATTAAGTCACATCTGAAGTGTTTTTCTTTACAATATGTCCATTTTATTGCGTGATTTGTTCAATATGCGGTGTTTTAGGTAAAATACCATGTTGGCCTTTGGTATCAGTTCTCAAAATGGAAACTTATGTAAGGAATGAGTCTATTAACTAAGATCCTTTTTATGTTTTACTTAGGCGTGTATATCCTTCTTTTTCGTGTTCTATTTTTGATGTAAAGCTACCATGTACCGCAGTGTGACTCGACACTTCCATTTCGACTTTAAACGTTCAACAGTCTTTAAATAATCTATTTGTGTTACGCTGCTTGTTTCGTTGGATTGATTGAAGTTGTATTACTGTATTCACATACATATGATGTTTACATTGTTTAGTATGAATCCTTTTTATCCGTGCAATTGATAAAAATCCCACAAATCATCATTTCAATCCAAGGATATTCAAGGATATTCTACCAATTTATGTATATACAGTGTGTTGTATGAATGATGGCTTCACTTCATGACGCGATAGAGAGATCGAAAAGGAAGGCGGATATCGAAAGCTCAAGCTGCAAAGTTTCAAAGAAAACTCGAGGTCAACAAAAGTCAATAACCAATATGGCGGAACCATGCCCTGTCCGCATGACTGCAGAGCCAAACGCACAGTGCAGTAAAGAACTCGTTGACCCAGTGTTGTCACTGTTACACAAATTAGTGGATGACCAGAAAAAGCTAAGTGATAAACTTGATACTATGCAGTCAGATATGGTTATTAGAGAGGAGCGAATAATGTCTAAAATCGAAGAAAAACTGGATATTACGAAAAATTTGCTGAAACAGGATATTATCAAGGTAAACAATGATTTGCAGTCTCAAATAGATGGTATATCTCATGATGTCAATAATTTGAAAGATTCAATAAACCTTTGCAAAATTGTGATTAAAAACGTTTCTGAATCTGATAATGAAGATTGTCTTGCCAAGGTCAACGAGTTCGTTAAGGTTGGCCTGAAATTGACTGATACTAAAGTTGTTAGTGCCAAAAGGATTCCAAAGCGACAAGGTTCTCAATATCCAGGGATTATTGTCGCAGAGGTTCGCGAGTCCGACAGAACGGAGATCTTCAAACGGAAGCCAGCTCTTAAACAATCAGCAATATACTCGAACATTTATGTGAATGATTTTATTTCTAATGATGCACAAAAAATGAACTCTAATCTTCAAACAGTTTTACGAGCTGTTGGGAAACAGCAGGACTTTAACTTAGTTAACGGTCGAATTTTACCGAGGAACCCCGCACGAGTGATTGGCCAGTCAGCAGCAACACCAAGTCAGCAAACCAATACTAATGCCCGTAATAATACACCCAACAATGGTCCACAATAGGGATGCCTGGTCACAGGTTTCTGGAACGTGCGAGGTGTTCCTGTATCTAGTGAGAGCAACAAATATAAATTCATTATGGAGGTGATAAAATATCATGATCTTGATATAATTGGAATAGCTGAAACCCATTTGATCGGTAATGAATCCCTTAATGTGTTAGGATATAAGTGGTTCGGGCATAACCGTGCACACAATGTAAGAGCACGATCCGGATCTGGAGGTGTTGGTTTTTTAGTAAAATCAAGTGTTTTATATAAGTTTGATGTGATCGTTTTAAATAAAGAATGCGAGGGAATTATGTGGTTAAAATTAGTGGATAAGTCAAATGAATGTAATGTGTTATGTGCCTGTGTGGCCTATTTACCACCCGAAGGATCCTCTAGGAGTAACCCAGAGGAATTTTATGATAATTTATTAACCCATATATATCTGTACCAAACGTGTTCGAATTTCTTCATATGCACCGATTGTAACAGCAGGATAGGAAACATGGATGACTACATTGTCGGTATCGACGACGTCCCACAACGCAACGTTATTGACTTCAAAACAAATTCGTATGGAGATAAGCTGATCAATTTCTTACAGGACTCTAATTGCTGCATTCTGAATGGACGAAATGGTTTACAAGCCGATAATGACTATACGTATATTTCAACAACCGGCCATTCAGTCGTGGACTACTGCATTCTGTCACATGACATGCTTAGCAATTTCAGAGATTTTGTCGTAACTTCAACATCTAAATTATGTGGTCAGTTAGATTACCAGCCTGGCCATTCAATACCTGATCATTCGCTATTGATGTGGAAAATTGATCATAGTGTGCATTGTACCCAGTCTACAGGTGTGGACTCGCAAAACGTACAGGATTACGACAGGGAAGGTTATCGAAAATACAATGTGAAAAGCATACCACGTGATTTTTTCTCGTCCAATAACATTGTAGATCAGATTGACATTTTGTTGGAAAATATTGCAATGGCCGAGCGGTCACAGGGCGCTTTGGACAATATATACTCAAAGTATTGTGAAACACTATTGTCTGAAATGGACGCCAGATTGGACTATAGTACCATTAGACCTAGGTCAGGAAATGGAACGAAGTATTTTAGACCAAATCAACCGTATTGGACGGATGAATTGACCCAGTTGTGGTCGGCATATACGGAAACGGAAAGAAAATGGACCAAAGCGAGGCCCAACTCTGCTACTAAGCAGGCTTTAAAACAAGAATATGTACACAAACGTAAACATTTTGATAGGGTAAAGCGTAAAGCAAAGCGCAATTTCAAGCAAGATCAGAACCAACAACTCATCAAAGACTTGAGGTCAAATCCAACGTCTTTCTGGAAGTCAATTGGTCTCACTGGAGTGAATACACAACGGCAGAATAGAATTCCGCTCGAGGTCAGGAAGGCCGATGGCTCATTAACAAATGACATCGATGAGGTATTAACAAAATGGAATAATGATTTTAAATCCTTGCATAATGATTTTAATGGAAACTTCAATGAGCAATTCTACCAAGAGTATAATGATCGTTTAAATAGGGGGGATATCCCCAAGGATAATCCAGATATTAATACAACCGTGTTGGACCAGGATATTTCACAACAGGAAGTTGAAAACGCATTACACGCTGCTAAACGAGGAAAGGCACCAGGAATGGATCGTATACCAATGGAGGTTTTATTATCGGTACAGTCTAAGAGATTTTTCACGTCGTTCTTCAACTACTGTTTCAAATCTAGGATTACTCCATCAATGTGGAATAATTGCGTTAAAATACCCATCTCAAAAGGCTCAAGCACCATACCGAATGAACCGCTGACATATCGAGGGATTACTTTATCGTCAGCTGTGTGCAAATTATACTGCTGGATTTTAAACGACAGATTGTCATCGTTCTGCCTCGAACATGGTTTAATAGACGACGAACAAAATGGTTTTATGAGCGGCAAAAGTTGCATTGATCACATATATAGTTTGTCTTCTATTGTCGAAAATCGTATCAAGGGGGGCCAAAGCACGTTTATTTGCTACGTTGACGCGGAGAAGGCCTACGACAGGGTCGATCGAACGCTCTTATGGTGTAAACTTGCCCAACTTGGAGTTAACATCAACGGTGACTATATGGGTGCTCTTCGCGCTTTATATCGGGAAGTGAAGAGCTGCATCAATATCAATGGATTTTTCACGGATTATTTTCCTATTAACTATGGTTTAAAACAGGGGTGCCTCACATCTTGCCTTATGTTCAATATATATGTGAATGATTTATCCGACACCATTAAGTCATTGCACAAGGGTGTTAATGTTAACGGCGAGGAAATATCAATACTTCTATATGCCGACGACGTTGCGTTAATATCTAGTACAGAAGATGGAATTCAACGTATGCTTGATGAACTAAACATTTGGTGTAACAAATGGCGTCTTTCCGTAAATATTAAGAAAACGAACATTGTGCACTATCGACCGAGGCGTATTCCGAGAACTAATACCGTTTTTCGGTATATGGCCCACCAGATTACTGTTGTTGACCGGTATAAATACCTTGGTCTTTGGTTGAATGAGTTCATGGACTATTCCGAAATGGCCAAGTCTGTAGCAGCGGCAGGTAGCAGGGCACTAGGTTTACTAATAGCAAAGTACAAGTCTATGGGTGGCATACCATACGAATGCTATACTCAGTTGTATAATAGTTTAGTACGTCCTATTTTAGAATACGGCTCTGAGGTATGGGGCCTAAAAGAACATTCCTCAATTAATGCAGTTTTCCACCGTGCATGTCGAGTTTTCCTGGGACTTGGTAAATACGCACCTAATGCAGCAGTATCTGCCGAGATGGGTTGGACTGCACCCTACGTACGCCAAATTACGGTTGCCGTCAAATACCGGGACAGATGTCTTTCTTTGAACACGGATCGAATAACAAGACGCATTTTCGATTGGAATTTAACAGTGGGTGTATCACGTGCTAAGGCGAACTGGTTTTTTAACCTTAACAGGATCTTGACAGCTGATCTTGATTTGGGGTTCGATTCTCCATTGGAATCTGTCCTGCACACGCTGAAAACCATTCGATTAAATGCATGGAGAGCCAATTTGTGGAATGACAACCGCCGTGATCCAAACCAACGGAACAAACTTAGAACTTATAGAACGTTTAAAGACAAGTGCGACTGCGAGCCCTATCTTAAATCTAGTCTATCATTATTGGATAGAAGGGCATTTGCATCTTTACGCTGTGGAGTCGCCCCAATCCGAATTGAAACGGGCAGATATGAACGCCTGGCTGTCCAAGATAGACATTGTGTGATTTGCAATGAAGAGGTCCCACTCGTAGAGGATGAACAGCATGTTATAATGGACTGTAGTGAATATGATGTGTTAAGGCGTGATATGTTGCATAAAGTGACATCTAAATTAACATTATTTCCAGAAAATCACGAAGAACAATTTAAAATACTTATGAGTGAGCCTGGAATCTACCTATACGTTGCCAGGGCCTGTGGCCAAATGCTCAGGACCAGGGAGCGGGTTCTATATAGATAAGACAGGTGTCTTATAGGCCGATGTCGGCCCGGGGTTCGTTTTAATTGATATTTTATGTATAATTTTACCCAAGACACTATAATAAATTTTACAATTACAATTACAATTAATGAATGCAAATATGAAATAAACGCGACGATTTAATGATCAAATATATATTTAGTGATTTAGTGAAGGTTAAAGGCCTAAAACTCCTGGAGTTCAAGTACTGTTGAACATTGAAAAATGTTGTGTTTGTAGACTATACAAACCAACTTGAAATAATTTTCACACTATGATGTCTTATAAGTTTTTGTATCAATTGAAAAATGTTTTTATACCCAAGATATATCAAACTTCAATCAATTAAGTTAAAGTAAACTTAGGTTCCTCCGGACCCGGATCTTCTAAATGATTAGCTCGTTAATATGTGTACCATTGACGTATTTCTCAGTGGAACGGATCCAAAGTCAAAAGTCATACCGTCCATTCGCAGTACATCTTAGTACCTTTGTTGAATGGCTATTTGTCCAATGAAGGCGTCACCCCATCATTCATCCCAATGTTTATTCAAGCAATGTTTCATCGGTTTCATTACCGTCAAAAATCGTAAAAAATCAAACAGAAAAGACCTTTGATGTGTCAGATACTAAATACTCCACCGTCATACTACTGCATTAGCTCTTTACTCTTAAAAAGGTGACGATCGATGCAACACTGATTGATTTCCTACCTTACCAGAGGTGTTTATATCCTGGACTATTGAATTACTATCTCCGAGCATTTTATATGACGTGTTATCATGCCACCTTCCTTCTTTCTATTGGATTATCCTCACCTTAGTAGTCTTAAATCATATCCATCCGTGGGTCTTGAGAATATATTAAGCGTTACCCCATGGTGCCACGATGATCAATTATGTCAGTTTACCTTCTGTTGACTGGACCTTTTGGAACCTGGTTAAATCATGCAATCTATTTGTGATATACTTTGGAGAAACATTTCACAATTTGTCGCCCCGAGCTTCGAGAAAAGCATCACAATGTAATGTTAATCCTTCCTTCACAAAACGAAACCCTATATATGATTTGGATGAAGCCATTGCAACTAGTCCGTCAACTCATGGTAGAGACAGACTAGAATCTGAGTCGGAATAATATTTGGCAAGTGACCCGAAAAAGGACATCGACTGAGAATAAGTCAAAGACGGCAAAACAACCCTGGAAAGGGGTAACGATGCGGACAGAATCGCGCTTGACGTACTGTAATACTGGAGCAGCTTTTCGAACAAATCACAACTTTTGACATTCCAGAGACCAAATCAGAAACATTTCGACAATATTGCGACTATACGAAACGTTCACGACAAAGACAATGGATCACATGCACAAACCATGGAATTGGTAATTCTATCTGATGATGAAATGTTAAAAAACGATGTGGAGGATACTCCCTGTGAAACCATATTATAGAGCTATGACGAAAGAACAATTTGTTAATAGCCGTTATTGATTTCACATTGCATTCTCTTGTCATAAAATCCGAACTTAACATGTCTTCAAATAAATGCCTTTATGATCATGTCTGATTATATAACACAATTGAAGTATCACTTACCTTTATAGTTGTGGTGTTAATGTCCGTGAGTGTTGTACAATATGTGTTGTAATACAAAGAATGTAGTACAATGTGTGTTTGTTGTTCTCACCCCAGTGTACAAACACCGTTGGGTCACAACGTTTAATGGCGAATTTATCGTCACTATCTATGAATCATTCAGACCACTTGTTTTTATCGTCTGTTCTCTTGATCACCACAATTAAATGCTTCATTTAATGTGCTTCTAGCAAATACTGATAAACATTTTCTTCCAGTTTCCGCAAATTTCCTAATATTTTTCATCCGATGTTGTTCTGTTAAAGGTCCCCTAATAAGAATGCGTGTCTCTCATGATCTGAGATTTGAATTTAAGCGCTTTCAGGAAATTTAATATGATTATATTTGATTTGAATACGTCCTTTAGAAGCTTATTATCAGCGTACGGTTTAATATTTCTTTAATTCTAAATGGCCCTTTATCCGATTATGCCACAATCAAATATAAGAATGGGAACTTTATTAGGTCACGTGATGAAATCTTTCATTTATTGGACATTTCAGCGTGGATTAGATTGAATCAACAGCATTCTTGCCCCATTTATAGTTGACATATATTTTCGCTTGCATTAAATTAATTGACAAATGCCATGAATGCTAAGTATGTTTTTACGATTCGTGTGCTGTGAGGCGTATTCCTAATGGAAGCGAGTTTTTATTTCAATTCCCGTGCAATAACCGTGAATTTTATTCTCTAATTTGCAGCCTTACAACTTTCCACTTAAGGCTAAATCATTAATGTAAATACTTACGATAAATTATATAAATACCCGGGAGATAATTGTGTACATATAGGAATATATGAACGATTATCCCAAGAACTATTGACGTGTCTATCTACGCTTGCCCAATAAATAGGATTATAAGTGGTTGGATGTAACGGCTTAAACGGTTTAGGATACCATAATGCCAATCACATTTCTCATATCGGCGCTACAAAACCTCACAGAATCTCACAACATGCCCATCAAAATAATTCCAAGCTATATTTTTCAAAGGAAAAATACCTTTAGTGTTGTTGTTGTTATGCAAAAAGGCTAATGAATTGAAAAATTGAATGATAAGTGGTTTAATAGTCTGTAAGAGTAATTATGAGGAAAGTGAGTGGTGAGATTCTTTGTAAGGGATCTTTCTCGTAATAAATCAATCAAATTTCACTTATCTACCAATGCTCACTTATCCCAATATAGCAATGATAACTTGCCAACTTTAAAATCATTGCCTCAGACATCAGACATCATAAAGGACTTTGGCAGTTTTGTGTTATTAATTGTCGTATTATTGATACACATGAGCATTATCTGTTGATTATTCTTAAGAAAGTCAACGCCTTTAGTATACTTAATAATAACTCAAAAGGGCGCAATCACCTTAACAAGGCTCATTTTGAGACTTTTTCTGCATACCTTGAGATTTTATAACTGTTTTATTGGAACCGTGGGAGTCAATTTTACACCGATTTAACGATCACCTTTCCCACTAGGATAAAAAGAAATCTAGCTATTTAGGGACAGACCTGGAGATTGTTAATGGATTCATACAATTTATTTCTTAAATCACATTACGAAATCATAACAATCAAGCCCAAATATTCATAATGCAGAAATTAATATATACACGTCGCACGAAACTGGGGACAATTAGAGTAACATTATGGCGTCAAAATACCAAAACAATACAATGGGCAGTATAGGGCGCAATCAGCATTATAACGTCAAAAACGACAAGCGTTACATTTTGTCAAGTTTAGTCAACATAAAAATAAGATGCTTTATTCTTATTCAATCCTGGTAAAATTAACAGAGTAAGAAGATCTCGAGGACAATATTTCTAAAATGTTTTTGATTTTTGAAAAACGGTCAGGAAGTCCACTCGGGGCGTTAGTAAAAATTGATTTGTATGGGATTTGTGGTAAATAATCGATGCGTTACATTTTTTCAAGTCTCTAAAAGCAACTCTTATTCTCTTATTATTTGAAAAATAAAGAAATCGGTTATTGTTTTGTAAATTTCGCCATGACAATATTGTGCAGTTAAATTTTTTTTGAAATCAGACGTAAATTAGAAGGTTAAATAAAGGTAAACTTATTGCTAGTCTCCTTCGCCTTCAAAACCTTACACAATTTTGAAAATCTTAAAAGCGTTCATATAAGACGATTTGAACTGTAGCCGCTAGGCAATTGTGACGTCATAAAAGCACATGTTTCAATGAATAAAATGTGAAATTTTAGTAAAATTCTGATCAGTATTACAAAAGTTATCCCGATTTCAACGAACCGTGCAAGCGTGAAATGTTACGTCTTACAGCGTATTTGACGATGTCGGAGTACATTTAACTTCAAAATTATGGTAGATCCTATCACACTTTCTATTGAAAAATAATTTCAGTGAAATGCGAATAAAAAATACTTCAAAATGATATATAATGCACATAGTTAGCTTTTTAAATAAGGCAGATATTAACGCTTAAAGCTGAGATTACCCCGTATTTCCCGAATTGTCCCCAGGTCCGTGCACGTCATATTAGCACTTTTATTTTGATTTTGATAATTGCAATCAGGTATGGATAAAACACTGTAAATGGACCCAATTTTTTAGTTGGTGGTCGTTTTAACAGCAAAGAAACATGGGGATAAATCCCGTACTTACCCCAGTGGATATCACATTTCCAATGAGAACTCTGCTGGGTTTAATAGTTCATTCACTTATCCCTGACATTGTTAAATCACATGTACATGTTTAATTAATTATTACCAATTCGTTTAATTTAGGTTATTTAAATGGTATCCTCAATTAGCATTTGTTTCTATTCTTGTTACCCAGTTGCTAGTTTTGTAATGTACTTGCATTTCCTTAATCAAAAGTAAAAAGAACATACCATGCTGTTAAAAAACAAATGCATACGGCATGATCGCCTTTAGTGAACTATCTCAAGTAGATGTCAAGGCACACACACTTGCATAACCATGATTATCACTAACTATAAGCCCAGATCAAAACTTTCAAAATCTAAACCGTCAATATAGTTTGCTATTGACATAATACATTGACTGACTTATCAAAACTCATAAACATGTCAACATAAAAGTGTGAGGCAGGGAAAGCCAGAATGAGCCAGAGTCATATACATTTTTTATTAATGGACAGAAAAATTCTGGCAGTCCACAGAATCTCCACAAATGCTTTTTTCATTTCATTATTCGAAATTGGGCAACGTAAATAGCAACGCACTAGTCTTGCTTCAAGACCCTATAGATAGTCCAGGGTCTTGAAGCAAGACTAGCCACGCACATTCAAAACAATATAAACCTTTGACGTTTCGATGACATTATTACATAACAGTTATCAGTGAAATATAAAAGTGAATGCTGATATCTTGAAATTAAATGTTGTCTCTTTATCTTAAAGTTGCACTTACCAGATGGATTCCGACAAGCATCACTTAAAAAACCGCCAAATTAAACGAAGAGGCAGATGTTTCTTGCAGAGTTGCCCCAATGAATAAGTGAAAGTATTTTTTAAGTGAATGCCAATCGCATCAACGATTCATAATTGAAATTACAACGAAAATAAAGTTTATTTGTCAATGAATCAAAAGCCATTTCTCACTTAACTTGACCTTGGCCTATAATTGTGTTTTGAAGAAATAAACGCATTCAAAAGCATCTTTTAAGGTTCAAATAAACATAAATGTCAAATGACAACCGTTGTAGTAAACAATAAATAACTTACTTTTTCAGCGAGTTTTATGGACTTAGTGAGCTTTCTCGTTATCATTGTTTTGGATGTCATTGTATAAGATCATCAATAAAAGTCCACGTAATATCCTTATTTTTCCCTATAGGTCTTTCCACTCTGACGTTTGTCTTTTAAATGGCTAAACCAGATGTAAGCTTTAGTTTTATAGTCTGGTTTGGTTTGACACTTGCAAACTTTTTGTATAAAATATCACTGTCATATCACGGGTCTTCACAATAGCAATCTAACGGCTTATTGTCTTTAAGAAACCCAATTACAAACACCAGAGACTAATTACGAACCATAGGGAACCAGTTGTCGCTGAAGTTTCACAGTTTCTTACAAACTTTCCCGGTGTGGGTCTCTGTTGGTCAATGGAGACCCGCCACGCTTTCATCCCTACCCTGGTATTATAAGATTGCTAGTTTAACAACTTATCATTTGAAATCAATCAACTGATTGTAGTTTACGAAACTTATCACAACTTATACATAAATCTGCTTTGATCTACTTTTCATCAGACTTCGTTCTTTGATAATATTATTGTTTGATATAAGTTAGGGACTTACCACGTTTACTGTTATCCGTTCGGGATTTTTCCAGTACTCAACCAGATCAGTTCAAAAGATTTTGTAAAACATACCTTTAATCTATTTTTAATGTGATTATATGCCTAACAGTATTTGAAGAAAAGAAAATATGAATTTGAATTGAATTTTGATATCAACACAATTGAACTGGAGATAAGAAATGAAATGTCAAACACTGTTTTATTATCTTTTATAAGGATACACATCCTGAAACTATTCCTTTTGGTCATACTTATTTCATGATATTCTCTCGAAAAATTGATTAAAGTATCCGATCTTCTTACATTTCTATGCAATTGGGAGTATCCGCAACATGTATGTATATTTTATTACCCGCCGATTTCACTCTATCACACTCTATTTTGCGTTTTAAGAGTGAACACCCTGAAGTTTTGCGTGTGGGGGATATTGATCTTAGACGTAACACGAGACGCAGAGTCGAGGGGCCAGTCACTACACTTATTATATTTTGATATAATGAAAATATATACACGTTATTTTCTGATAAGACTGTCGTGTCATGATGGGGCTTTAGCAGTCTAGGAAGCACAAGGAATTGTTGAAAACACAATAGAAGGATCAGGGCCAAATAACCCATTAGAGAAATGTCAAATCTAATGTTTGTGTTCTTATATATTGAAAATAAATTGAAATGTTAAAGGAAACCAAGAAGAAAAGTTAATCGTATTTGTACACTGTCATATGCAGAAATGCCCCTGAAGATTTCCTTGAAAGAAGCGTTAGACTACGTCATATGTGTAATTCTAGTTACGGGCATGAGACATTGTTCACTTAGTCTGGCCGTTACACCCCCGTGGCGAAATGAAATGCATCTTCACTCGGGACACTAGAATATCAAGCTACCAACCGTAATACCTGAATCTTTTGAATTTTATTTTGCAAATGATATCAATTTCAGTATGAATCGAAAGAACGTTTTTTTCATTAGATAGGTCAAGGTCAAATAAGTCAAAGCGAAACGGCGTAACTAGGGGGTCATTTCACCAGATGTTTAAATGTCACTTAAACTGTGAAGTACATATGATTGTTTCTAATCTATATTTCCATAAAATATCCAG